CGAACGATACATGCCCAGTGCTTAGATTCCATCAAATGAGTCCTGGTTCCATCGTTTCAAAGAAGGTTACAGCCTCCCATTGCTTTGATTCCATCCTACAATTCGTGGTGAATTGTTTCAGTGAAAGTTACAACCTCCTTGTTCAGATTAGTCATCTTTCATCCTGCTATCCCGACATGGCAAATTTTTTTGTGCGAAGGGCCAATTTGACAAATGTAAATCTATGGGGGGGGGGGGCGCATGTATATTATGTCCAATTTTAACATGTCGATAAACATTTCTCTATATTAAAATCGGTCAATTCGCATGTTAGCATGACATGACAAAAGTCAAGGACTGTTTTAAAAAATAGAAAATCAGAAAGAAAGTTGATCAAAAATGTTAAAACAATCAAAATGGTACATGCAATTCTGTCAAATCCAACCAAATAACTTAAAAACAAAGTAATTTCTTTTATTTCTAAATGCCTTCGAGGGCCTCATAATATCAGCTGCCCGGGCCGTAGTTTTCCCACCCCTGGACTAGGGGGATAAAAACAGAGTTTCTTTGTATCCGGCTCAATTCACATCTACATCACACACATTTCGACCTTCTACATCACACACATTTCGACCTTCTACATCACACACGTTTCGACCTTTCTACATCACACACATTTCGACCTTTCTACATCACACACATTTCGACCATCTACATCACACACATTTCGACCTTCTACATCACACACATTTCGACCTTCTACATCACACACATATCGACCTCCTACACCAAGCTCCTCTCAGCATTTCTCATTAAAGTCCTGTCAACCTTTTCCTTCAAATATCAGTCAATATTTAAAATTTTGGGAGTTTGGCTCTGAGCTGCCATTGTTGGAGTTAACGCCGGTTGACCCTCAAGACTGGCGGCTGACTGAGTACCCACATCACGAAGTCAGTAGAGGGACTAGTCAGTGGCCTGTCTTCAGACAAGTAGTTTCTACCATGCTGTTGACAATGTGAAATTTTATTCCCTACGAAGTCCGGGCCCCCCATGGGCTTAGTAGTTGTTGGCCGTATCACTCTAGTAACACGATTATCTCCGGAGCTCATCTGCTGATAGTATAATTCAGCTAAGTTAACAAGTTATTATTATATAGATTCCAAAAGATGTAAGGGTTAAAAAAAAATATTAATAAGTTGCAAATTAGAAAAATGCAAGCAATTTATGCGGAGAAAAATAATCAACAGAAAACGATCTAAAAAGGATAGGAATCTCTTTGAACTATGTAGTACTTAACTATTTACTAAGTAATCAACTAAAACGTAAATTTAAAAAAAAAAATTGAATGACTTTAGAAAATATTCAACAATAAAAATAACAAAACAAACTGAAGCACATACACATAATGCTTGACACTTAGTCATGTCAACTGTGTGAATCCAGGTGAATGGTTGTACAAAGAAAAATGCTAATATTTCTAATGTGTCATCCTCCATCCTATAAACTTGACTTTGTTTCCCTATCTTAAACAGAACACTTAAAATAATCGATTCAGTGGCTCGGAATCATAGTAGAAAATAAACAGCTGAAAATAAGAGTCATTGATGTGCCATACTAGGGATCGATACTATATTTCTGCCGGCTGGTATAGTTTTCAATAGAGAGGTTTAGATATGATGCTTGGAAGAAATTGGTAAGGGAGAATTAGTAGCGCATTTTAAACTTAAATTAAACAACACTTAAAAACAAAGGTTTTTTTTTCATATATATCATGTATGTACATTTCTTTATTTTTCCCACCGAAATTACATTTTATTTTGTATTGCATAGCCCAATACGTCACAAATACAAAGCACGTAGCAAGAGCAGCACCATTAATCTCCACACCAAAACACGTCGCCATTGAACAAAATCATACTTCATTCGTCGTCACCTTGAAAAAACAGGAAAAATCTTATTATTTGGGGTGGGGGTGGGGCTGAAAATTAAATAAAGAATGTTTTGTCATCGGCAACGAATCTACGTGCCACGTTTCAGCTCGATAGGATGACGGGAAGTTGGTCAACCGGCCGCTCTAAGATTTTTACCTTAAACAGCGAAACACATGGACAAAAGCTTGAGATTGACATTTTATATTTTCAAGCCATACGACATCATTGTGTTTCATGGGCAACCCACGCATTTTTTTAGTCATGTTACTGTTACAACTCTGAAGTGTTGGGGAAAATTTATTTTATACTCTTTGTACACTTTTGGAAAAGAGTGGGGTTTTTTTACGTTATATATATATATATATTATATATATATATATGTGTGTGTGTGTGTGTTTCGGGCGATGTGAACAATTTGGCATTATTTATAATACCCGGGTAATTTAAAAAGTGCCCAATGGGATGTGACGAAATGATAAATTATATAGAATATATTACATTGCCGGGGCAGTATGAATAGTGCTAGAAATCGAGTTGGCAATTTGAGAAATTTTTTATTTATATTTCTCTACATACAAAAATAAGAGTATATTATATATTCAAACAAATTTTTAAATAACTAACAAACAAATAAAGATACAAACAAGTGGTGATAAAATAAGTATAAAAAATGCATACGCCTAACTAAGAAAAAAATATTAGGTATGTACTTACAAATGCATATAAACACAAAAATGTCAAATCCTAGAGTTTCTATTGATTAGAGCAACTTCCACTTTGGTCACGTTTCGAGTTACATAGCTTTTTTTTTCTTTACGGCACTTACACTTGTCAGATTTACAGCCACATTTACAGCCACATCGACTATAGCCTTGGCCCCCAGTCTTGGATGACATTCTCGCACATTCTCTTGGTGAAATCTCTGACTGAGGAGTTTCTTTGGCATAAATAAACTTTTCATTACATATTGTAAATTGGTTCCTAGCATAAAGTTGATTTAGGATTCCATGTTTCGTGCTTAATTTATAAAGATTGACATCTGTTATTTCAAGAACACATGCCGAAATATTTCTTCCATCGGTGCGACCTCTGTCGACATCTGGGACTCGAACTCTAACTGTGTCACCCTTTTTAGCGGCCGGGTATTTTGAATTAGAGGTTTGAAGCATTTTTTCAGCTTGTTTCTTTAGATTTCTTCCTGAAATTTCCCAAATTTTTAATATGTCGGCTTTTCTTTTTTTTTCACATTGGGATTCTCTGATGAATCTTCATAAGTGCGTTTTTCATGACCGGAGACTTGAATATCAGATGGCTCGGAGACATTTATTTCTCTTTCGTTTTTATGGAACTCAGAACTTGGTTCAGATAACCAAGTTGAAGGTTGAATATAACTATCAATAGAAGATAGTTCCTCCTCGTTGTGTTGACCTAGCTCCGCTAAAGAACTTAACCCTGGTTCATTTTGCAGTGCACCTTCTTCTACAGAATGTAAATTGTTTTGATCTTTTACTGTTACTTGTAAGTCCTCTTCACAATTTATATTAGGCAGAACGTCTGTAGGTAGAAAACTTTTTAGACCAACTGTTAACTTTGTTCCAAACATGGCCTCATACGGAGTACAGTTTATGCCACTATGATGAGCTCTGTTCTTCATAATCTGAACAAAAGGTAAGCCTTCTGACCATTTTCTGCTGTTATTGTCTTCCAGCCAAGAACAAAGCATATTTTCCACTTCCTGATTTGCACGTTCTACGGAGCCCTGACTTTCAGAGTGTCTGGGCTTCCCATGTACCATCTTTAACTCGGGCCACATGCTACATAGTTCGTTAATAGTATTGTTAGCAAATTCTCTCCCATTATCACTTTGCAAAATAGTAGGCGCACCAAAAATGGTAAAAAAATATCCAAAAGCACAAAGGCTACTTCTTCTGCTCTTTTGCTTTTAAGAGGTCGGAGTTGAATAAATTTAGTTAAATGATCTTGGTATACAAGTATGAATCTGTATTGATCCTCAGCTTGTGACTGCATGTCGATTAAATCGACGTGACATCTTGAGTTCATGTTTTTACTTAGTATCGGTCTATCAACTAAACCTTTTTTTGGCACACGGTGGGTTTTTTCGCACGTCATACACACATTTAGATAAGTTACAATCATTTCCCTTGTGATGTTTTTATACTTTGAATTTATCTCTTTTTCCATACGGTTTCGACCACCATGACCTATTGCAACATGTGCATCGTGTAAAAGTTGAAATATCTCTTCCCGATGTACGTAAAACCTAAACTGCTCTTTACCTTCCTCTACAGGAACTATCAACTTCTCCTTCTCTCCGAGAGTTATGACGTCTAAAAGCGAGAATCACACCAAACGCATGTTGCCAAATTGCTGTCAATTAATTTAAGTGACCAGAGAAATAATAGCAGTATGTATAATGACCGGGCAATGTAATAAATTATCCTAGATTGTCGTAGACAAATACAAAATTATGAAATTGCCAGATTTTATCGGTCATTATTCATAATGACCAAGCATTATGAATAATGCCAAATTATTCACATTGCCCGTAACATATATACTAACATTATATCGCAGCCAAAAGGTTATCCCCCCCCCCCCACTTCTCCAAGTCCAATGTCGTTGATATAGATTGTATATATATATATAACCCCCTTCCACATCCGTCATTGTGAAACTTCGTCCACTTAAAAAGTCCCTTAAAACCCATCTGTTTAGGTCCGCCCATGACCTGTGATGCACCCCCCTTGCCCTGCCTCATTTTCTGTCTCGGGTTGATCCTGTAGTTAAGGCCAAAACGTGCCAAAGCGTCCTCGTTTTATAGCCATTTTCATTGTTTCTATAGTATAGTAGTTACTATCCTGGTGTCTCATTTTTATTTTACTTAGTTTACATGTTTTTAATAATTGTAAAGCGCTTAGAGCTTTAAGGTAAGCGCTATATAAAAATGCCTAAATAAATAAATAATCGACTTTGTATAAACATGGAATCGTAGTGGTACACTTTCAAATACGAATCCACACCTGGCACTGAAAAATAATTGTATTGGTAATAAGGGCCTCGGCTTTATATAAATAGTGGGTGAATACGAGGATAGGATACCGTGTGATCCTACTACAACAACAGAGTTCAGCCAATACAGAAGACATGAAGCTCCTAGGTTTACTCGTAGTTCTTGGCGTGGGCTCGTGGGCAGCGGGCGATGACTCGGAACCAAGAAAAGGTGATTGCCAAAATCATTTGATAAGTACAATTAATTAACTCTGTCTATTAATCTCTCTCTCTCTCTCTCTCTCTCTATATATATATATATATATATATATATATATATACATTTTTTTTTATTTATATATATGTGTGTGTGTTTGTGTGTGAGGCGATGACTCGGAACCAAGAAAAGGTGATTGCCAAAATCATTTGATAAGTACAATTAATTATCTCTGTCTATTAATCTCTCTCTCTCTCTCTCTCTCTCTATATATATATATATATATATATATATATATATACATTTTTTTTTATTTATATATATGTGTGTGTGTTTGTGTGTGGTTGTGTGTGTTATGTTTGTATTTTAGAGGTATGTCATACCTTAGGCAAGAATCCATTCACTAACTCCTCCCAACATAGGTCTATTGTTATTTCAATGAGTGACAAAATATTAGGTTGGGAAAGTTTAATAGCAAAGGCAGAGTAAACTGAAAACAAAAAGAAACAAAAAAAAAAAAGTCAGTTTGGCGTTCAGCAGAAGTTTGTCACAAACGGATCCAACTGGTGTTGGGTTTTGTTTGATAATTTAATTAGATTGTCGTTCTTGTATCATCTTTTTCACACATTACAGACAACGGTTGTGTTTAACTTGACCGTTTATCGCTATGGAGTCAATGTTCTCTTGTGGGAAATCTCGCCGAATCTGTTATTCAAGAATAGGCCTCGTATGCCATTTGATTGAGTTTCAATAGCTACTGTTTCGTCTTGCGGAGACGGAGGCATATAAAGAGAGAGAGAGAGAGAGAGAGAGAGAGGGGGGGAGAGAGAGAGGGAGAGAGAGAGAGAAAGAGAGAGAGAGAGTGAGAGGGTAAGCTTTACTTTTTATAACATGACAACTGTCTAGTATAGAATTAAGAGTATTACGTGACAACGAATTATCATAACCCTGGAAGATGGTAAGATATAATAAAAAATATTCAAACATTAACATTACCTTTATTATGTATACTTTTAAAGTCAACATTACAATTTCTTGCGAGTCAGGTAGGTGGCGCTTAGGGCGATTTTCAGCTTAAAAGCAGACGCTATACCTAATCTGAATTGTCTTAAAAACAACTCTTCAAAAAGTTTCTGGATTCCCGTGATTCTCTTTGAAAACGTATCCAACCTGATTTCTTCTGGTACCTGCTTCAAAACCAAATGCTACAATATCTAACGGGTGGTGTACTTCTTTACTTCCAGAACCGTCACAACGGCTGCTGACCTTCTTATCCCTGTTTAATGGATACTTCAGCAGTGCTAAAGAGGTGAAGGCTGAAAAGGCCGAGTTGGGTTATCCTGTGCACGATGTCATCAACGCGACCTTCAGAAACGTGTTTGTTCCGGCACTCCCCAATGTAAGGTTTTTTAAGTGATTCACAGCAGCTACACGCACGTCCGGCAGTGAGATTGCACCCCAAAAAAAAAACTAGATCAGATTGGTTTTATAGTTCACACTGGTGGTGCGCATTCTAGTTTTTAAGATATAGACATCGCTGAAACCGTATTTTACTGAATGTGACTTTAACAGTTATATAGGACTTATCCTTCTTTTCCCCATCGAATAACCCAGCGACCAAGCTCTTTAACCACCTAGGTCCCACAAAGCTACGCTCCTCACTCCTACGCTCAGAGCCGTGCAGAACAATGTTTAACCCCTGGGGAAATAACAATAATAAGGAGTCTTATATAGCGTGGTACCCCAGCCTAGGCTGTGCTCACCGCGCTGTACATAAAAATATTATCAAAAGAGACATAATCATGACATTAAAATAAAAAACATTTATGAAATAAAGAACAGCAAAAAAAATGTCTATTGACCCACCCCACCACATAACTTTTACAAGGCAAACCATGGACGGCAGCCAACAAGATCGTTTGTCGGTCAGAGGAGGGGATTCAGTCAGGTAGTATAATTGAAAGAGATGTGTTTTGAGTTCATTTTTGAAGGCCTGGGTGGTTGGTATATTGCGTATGTGTAGTGGAAAATCCAAGTTTGGGCCCCATGTGATTTTTTTTAAAATAATTATATCAAACGTGTCAACTTCCGCCTTTGAGGGCCCCAAACGGGCAGGGCCCCCCCCCCCGATTGATTAACTCGGTTGCTTCACGGCTACGCCTCCCAACAAACTCTCTCCCAGCCTCACTATCGCAGATCTCAATGTACTTCCATATGTTCCACAACTTTGTATACACTTTTTATTAGATTACTTTGTCCTTTTGTTTGCTTGCTTGTGGTGAAATTTTGCATCTCAATTTTGACCCACTTCCTGGCCTCCGATAAATATGAAACTTTGTACACCCACCCATCACCTCCGATAATAATAAAAACTTTCATGACCAGCTGGTCATCATTGACCCCCACTGACCCTTGAGTGACCGTCTGCGGATATCTCAGGAGCGGAAAGTGATTGAGACGTGAGGTTTTCATTAAAACGTTCCCTTATGCATGGTTACTCGTTCCCGGAAAGAATCACCTAATACTAAAATGTATAAATTAAATCTCCCCCGAAACTTCAGAGTTGTTACAGTCATATGACTCAAATAAAGCGTGGGGGAAGGAAGTGACGCACTCACTCATGCTCAGTTCGCACCATAAAATCTTCGTCAAAATTTCGTCTTTTTGAACACACAGTGCTTTCCATTTTGAACAAATGACGAAAATTTGATCGTGTGAACTGAGCGAATTGTACAGAGCAACCTAAGAAAAAGTAATCCGCGGTCATTGAAGTTTTTTTTTTGTTTGTTTGTTTTTTGTTGTTGTTTTTTTTGTTGTTTTTTTTTTGGGGGGGGGGGCTTTTTATTTTAATTTTGTTTTTTGCATTTTTTTTTATGTGTTTTTTTTTTTTTTTTTTTTTTTTTGTTGTTTTTTTTTTTTTTGTTTTTTTTTTGGGGGGGGGGGCATTTTATTTTAATACTGTTTATTGCATTTTTTTTTAAGCGTATTTTTTTTTTAAACAAGGACAAGGGAGAACATAAACAATATGCCCTTGTGTACAACAAAGATGTGTGTGCGTGTGTCGTACGATGTAATTTCACGTGATGTTAAAGTTTGTTTTTTTTTTGTTTTTTTTTTAATTTAAAGAACTCCAATATTTCAGGAAATCACATTCTATCTGGAAGAGGAAGACAACGGGGTGGTGTACAGGATGCAGATATTGGTCATAAGAGAAGACGAATTGGGAATCATTCGCATAGCGCCGTACAACTTTACGGACACGACCAAGTACAAGTAAGACACTTACACATTGCATGTGCAGAAGTGCAAGTAAGACACGTACACATTACATGTGCAGAAGTCCAAGTGAGACGCTTACACATTACATGTGCAGAAGTACAAGTGAGACGCTTACACATTACATGTGCAGAAGTACAAATCATAAAATTAAACATGACATGTACAGATGTACAAATCAGAAACTTGCTCATTACATGTATAGAAGTACAAAAAAGAAACTTGCTCATAACATGTACCAAAGTGCAAATAAGACACTTACACATTACGAGTACCAAATTAAAATGTTACAAATTTATTTTGGTGCGAACGAGGAGGCAACTCTAGCTCTAGTCTGTAAATATTGCCTGTTTTCATAAATTCGATACGCTTAATTTCCACTTATTTAAACTCACAAATACTACACACAAAAAAAACAATAAACAAACAAACAAGCTCTATTTTCACTTCAACAAACTTTGAGCTTTGGATCAATGTGCTTACTTAGGTCTCAATTCTCTCTGGAGAATCAAAATTGGAGTGACATTTTAAATGATAGACAGATATGATGGTCAAGTTAAATTATTCAGTGGCAAGTAATTAGTGGGAAACCTTATATGTGAGGTTTATGGTCTGAGATGATACGTTCTTGTGATATGAAGAACAAGTTGTTGTTTTTTTAAATAATTATAAATAATAATAAATTCAACAGTTTGTGATCAGTCCTATTGTGATAGCATGGCATTTAATTTTGCCTATCCAGTAAGTAGCGCATATTCGTCTCCATTTGTTGCTATCCCAGAGAAAGTATGAGGCTTCTAATGTTCTCTTGGTGCGTCATAACAACCATGATTTTGGAAGATGCAGCCCAAGATGGAGTTTGGGAGAGGCAGCCCAAGCTGGAATTTTGGAGAGAGAACCCAAGATGGATTTTGGAGAGAGAACCCAAGATGGATTTTGGAGAGAGAACCCAAGATGGATTATGGAGAGAGAACCCAAGATGGATTATGGAGAGAGAACCCAAGATGGATTATGGAGAGAGAACCCAAGCTGGAATTTTGGAGAGAGAACCCAAGATGGATTTTGGAGAGAGAACCCAAGATGGATTATGGAGAGAGAACCCAAGATGTATTATGGAGAGAGAACCCAAGATGGATTATGGAGAGAGAACCCAAGATGGATTTTGGAGAGAGAACCCAAGATGGATTTTGGAGAGAGAACCCAAGATGGATTTTGGAGAGAGAACCCAAGATGGATTATGGAGAGAGAACCCAAGATGGATTATGGAGAGAGAACCCAAGATGGATTATGGAGAGAGAACCCAAGATGGATTATGGAGAGAGAACCCAAGATGGATTATGGAGAGAGAACCCAAGATGGATTATGGAGAGAGAACCCAAGATGGATTATGGAGAGAGAACCCAAGATGGATTATGGAGAGAGAACCCAAGCTGGAATTTTGGAGAGAGAACCCAAGATGGATTATGGAGAGAGAACCCAAGATGGATTATGGAGAGAGAACCCAAGATGGATTTTGGAGAGAGACAAACCAAGATGGAATTTGGAGAGACAATCAAAGATGGATTTTATGAGAGGCAACCCAAGATGGATTTTGGGTCGTATACATCTAATGTGTGGGGTTTTTTAAGACAACAAGCTTTACGTTTCTTAACTCCTTGTCTTGTTGAAGAACGTGTTGAAAGTCTTCAGCAAGCCCCACCAGACACTTGTCATCTGATATCTTTCTTGGGCGCATCATTTTGGAGCAGAATCGACCTTACCCTGTAAACAGTTCAGCCCAGTGCCAGCTTGGGCGCATCATTTTGGACCAGAATCGACCTTACCCTGTAAACAGTTCAGCTCAGTGCCAGCTTGGGCGCATCATTTTGGACCAGAATCGACCTTACCCTGTAAACAGTTCAGCTCAGTGCCAGCTTGGGCGCATCATTTTGGAGCAGAATCGACCTTACCCTGTAAACAGTTCAGCTCAGTGCCAGCTTGGGCGCATCATTTTGGACCAGTATCGACCTTACCCTGTAAACAGTTCAGCCCAGTGCCAGCTTGGGCGCATCATTTTGGACCAGAATCGACCTTACCCTGTAAACAGTTCAGCTCAGTGCCAGCTTGGGCGCATCATTTTGGACCAGAATCGACCTTACCCTGTAAACAGTTCAGCTCAGAGCCAGCTTGGGCGCATCATTTTGGAGCAGAATCGACCTTACCCTGTAAACAGTTCAGCCCAGTGCCAGACAGTGGGGAAACTGAACATCGGAAGGTGTAGCTGTTTTGTCAGCCCTAGAAAACGCACACCGTCTCCTTAATTGTATTATTAAAATATTACTGATTTTTAGGCCTGGTCAGTTTGACGTCACCAAAGACCTTGAGAATGTCCGCCTTGAAGAGCTGAGCCCCACACGACCTGACTGTGAGATTGTCTTCATGCAAACAGATGTCAATGTGTTTGTTGGAACGTTCCCAGATTGTACTCGCTGGGTGGACGGGGTGAGTATATTTTGCCAAACTTTTTCAACAGCGAATAAGAAAAACAAGAGAGTTTTCTTTTAAGTGGCAAAAATTACTGTACTACGATGGTTCAATTATTTAATATTGTCAAACTGCCTTAAACAACAGCCATTTTTGTTTCCTTTTGTAATTAAATAACGTTGGAAAGATTTGTTTTGATTAAAGTATATTAAATTTAATTAGAATTTTAACAGAAATTTCGATACCAGATTTATATCGATAGCGATATTTTGAGGATACTCGGCACGCTAATGTGGTAACAGTTATTATCAGAACGTCTTTATTAAGAGCTTACTTAAAGATTATATTCACTTGAATATTTTTTTTAATGTACCAGAACCTGTTTATTTATTTAGACAATGCTGCTTCTCTGTCTTAAACATTTGATGTTACTGTGCGTGCATTGAGTCACATTTACTGCGCGTGCATTGAGTCACATTTACTGCGCGTGCATTGAGTCACATTTACTGTGCGTGCATTGAGTCACATTTACTGCGCGTGCATTGAGTCACATTTACTGTGCGTGCATTGAGTCACATTTACTGTGCATGTATTCATCTACACTTACTATACGTGCATTGAGTCACATTTACTGTACGTGCAGTGAGTCACTTTTACTGTGCGTGCATCAATTCACATTTACTGTGCGTGCATTGAGTCACATTTACCGTGCGTGCATTAAGTCCCACGTCGAAGTCATGGATTCCGTATGGTGTGTATTTCACAAGTTTTCCCCGTCTCCAGGGACATCCAAAGTACGCCTTCACGTTGTCCTGTAGAACTATAACCGCCTTGGTTTACTGGGGGAAGTCCAGGGAGAAGGACAGCCTCCTGCCTTACGACCATCGTAAAATCGTCAGGTAAGCAAAACTAATTCTGTTGTTTTTTTCTCTTTATTTTTAAACACACATTTACGTTTCTTTAAATGGGTGACGCGGATCTTGTTGGCAAATTTTGTTCTGAGCGATCCACGAGACTTTTTGCGTCAGGCTGACCATCCAATACATGAACTCTGCGCTGGTTTTTGTTTTTTTAAATCACAGGAACAATCCGTTATAATTATATTGGGTTTTTCACATTGCTGTTTAATTATTAGAATATTTTTATATGTAACATTTGGACAGAATTTTCAAAATTCAACAAATATTTTAACGCAAAGCGGAAAAAACCCCAGCTCAAGCTCACCGAAGAGTGCACCCAAAAAATTAAACCTTCAGGGGGAAAAGTTGACTAGTGACTGACCATCAGACAATTATGTTGGGAAGACCAATGACGTCATTCATGATTAACCCTTCGATCACCAAGTGCATAGGGTGTGCTGAATAAAACTGACACTGGCAAAATATGTCAGCGTTGATATTTCTTCCCCCGCTTGCTGAATTCAAAACATGCACATTCAAAGATGGAGGCTTTGGCTGACTTCATTAAACATTAATCATGAGACGAAAATGAAAATGCAGTTGAAAGTATTGTGTACTTTTGACCGGGTTGTTTTGTTGGTTTTTTTCGTCTTTTAACTGAGACAATGAAAGGGACACGGTGAGTGATATAATTTGACTCTTTCCTATCCAGTTATCCACTTCTGCCATACGTGGCTCCAGGAGCAGAGAACTTCAAGCCACCTTGTAACTGCTCATAAAAAAGAGTCGGCACCTGAATGGACCTTAGGCATTTTACTGAACAATTTGAGACGCCGACGTTCGACCATTGAAGATAATATAGGAAAATGAGAACAAACATTCAGGAAATTACTGAATGGACCTTAGGCATTTTACTGAACAATTTGAGACGCCGAAGTTCGACCATTGAAGATAATATAGGAAAATGAGAACAAACATTCAGGAAATTACTCGTTTGTCATAAAAGTGACGCGTTATAAAAATGAACAATAAAACAGTATATTTATTAATTGCAGCATTATCGGATTTTGTGTGTTTGAGTTTGTGTATGCGTGTCTTTGTGTGCGCGTGTGTTCCATTAGTATTCACACTAGCCCGAGCCGTCACAAAAGTGCGTGAGAATTTTTACCAATTTTATCGGTCTGAAATGAAGCTGTATAGAAAACAGAAATAGAGCAGCTGACACCGCCGGCTTACAAGGAGGAACAGTTGACGTCATTGGCATTTTCTTAAATGCTTGTTTAATATCGCACATACAAACCCCGAATACAACTCTTTTTTTTTAAATTACCGGTAACTTTCTAGATCTTCTTGCTTTGTTTGGGGGGGGGGGGTAGAGATTAGGAAAGGAGTATTATTATTATCAGTGGTTTTATATAGCGTGATGCCTCAGTACCCCAGTCTAGGGCTGGGCTCAACACGCTGTACATACAATTTAGCCAACATAATAAAAAAAACTTTACAAATCAATTAACATACATTAATTTAAAAAAACGGAAAAAATGTATATTTAAAACTATTTACATCTCAAGCCATGGGCGACACCCAACAGCATCGTTTTTCGGTCAGAGGTGGGAATCAGTCAGGATAGTAGAGTTTAAAAAGATGTGTTTTGAGTGCAGTTTTGAAGGCCGTGATGGGCGGTATATTGTGGATGTGCAATGGAAGAGAATTCCATTGTTTGGGGGCACAGAAAGAGAGCTATATATTTGACCAAAAAAACTTGTGACCCACTTTTCAATTTTTTCCACTTTTTGACCCATAACTTTTTATTATTAAAGAAAGGGTACCAAATTTTCAGCACATACTCTCAATGCAATATAAAACACAATGAAAACAGACGTTGCACATTATAGAAGATATATTTATTTTGAAAAAACATTTTTGCAGAGCAAGTGAAAAAAAATTTGGTAAAAAAAAATTTTGGGGGGTAAAATTTATTATTTCTTTACATTAAAATAAAAAATGCATGTTCACCGTATGTTTTTGTTTTTGTTCGAGTCTTGGGGACGGTAAATACGCTCGTCTGCGGAGGAGCGAAGCTGTCGAAGGAGTGACTAGACAGCGCGAAGTTCGGTTAGATAGGAGGGGGAGGAATTCGAGAAAAAGTTGTGGCAGATAACAGAGAGTTTGTAGTCAATCCGTGCTTGTACAGGGAGATAATGAAGTGAATAAAGTAGTGGTGTTACGTGATCACGTTTTTTTGTTTGCCATTAGAATTAGCCAAGCGGCTGAGTTTTGAACATTTTGTAATTTTTCTAAGAATTGTTTTGGTAAACCTGATAGAAGAGAGTTACACTAGTCAAGACGAGAGAGAACTAGAGCACAGACTAGGGTTTTTGTTGCACTAACTGTGAGGTATTGGCGGATGGAGCTGATCTGACGAACAGCGGTGTATGCAGAGCGACACATGTGAGAAACATGATTATCGAGAGACATGTTGTTAGACAGAATATAACCAAGATTCCTAGCGGAGAATGTAAACTGTATGTCGAAGTTACCTACATGAAATGAAGTGGGGAGAGTTGAGTTAGAGGATGATTTGTGATCTTGAATGAGGAGTGCTTCCGTTTTGTCACCGTTAAGCTTCAACTAGCTGAATTAGACATAGTAAACCTAGTCTTAAAAATAAGTTGGTTAAAAAAAAACACAAGAGAGGTAACCGAAACGCAACCACACATTTTTTCACGCACCTGAATTATATGAATACTCTAATAACCCACCCACTTTAACACCGCAGATTTATTTCCCCAACTATTTCAAAAGAACACAAAAAAAAGGAAAGAAAATAACTTGAGTGAAAGGATGCTTTAAAAAAAAACAAAAAACGAACGGCAATATAGTATCCGAGAGGACAGCAAAGAGAATTTAATTTTTAACAAGTAGCCCCACGACAATTGGTTGGAACAAGTAAGGGAGGTGAAGTATAGATTTATCAAGTGAAGTAGAAGTCGAAAGTATAGGCAGACAAATAAGTGTACAGGCAATTCAGGCTCATACCAGCCAGAAGCCAGTATAAGAATTGCTCATTCCTGCCCAAGACAATCAGGGACTGGAACAAGCTTTCAAAAGAAACAGCTGAGGCGACAACACTAGACACATTTGCGTCTATTGCCTCAAGCCTTCCAACCCACATTGCATGATTCCTTCACAGAGTAGCACTTGTAATCAGTGAAATATCCTCATCAGCACCAGGCACAGAAACATTGCAAATCCCCTCTACATGCATAGGAGCCAAAATGATCAATAAATTGATCGTGGGCCCTTAATATTTAGAAGAAGAAGAAGAAGTCGCACCTCGCTACTTCGCTTTTCGCGTCCTCGCTCTTTTGTGGGTTTTCCTCCATAGATCGTTCTGCAGACTTTTTGGCTATTTCGCGGGATATTTACGGTATACAGTATACGTATTGTTATATATTTAGGCATTCTCTAGCTTTAAAAAACTGAAACTAATATAAATGTAACTTTATATAACTTTTTATAAGAGTGTGTCTAGCTTTAAAAAATATATATAACAACGACTTCATTCACGGTATTTAGCATTTCGCGGTTTGGGGAGGGGGGGGGGTGTCTCGTAACGTAACTTTAATTTTGCCATCGATGCCCTCGAATTATGTTCCCTAATGCCCTGATAAATAAGTACAGTATTGGCACCCTTTTTAACATTTATTTATTTATTTCTTTAGGCATTTTTATATAGCGCTTACCTTAAAGCTCTAAGCGCTTTACAATTATTAAAAACATTTAAACTAACTAAAATAAAAATGAGACATTAGGATAGTAACTACTATATAAAATATTAACAAGAAGACAAGTAGTTAAAAAGTTTTTCTCAAACTGACAATATATTATTTTCCTTTGTTTGTGTGTATGAAGTTTGACGATATAGATTTCGGGGACGAACTAATCTGGGGCCACATCTGGAATCGATTTTGTTCAAGTTGGGCTAGGGGGTGAGGGCGGGGTTGGAGTTAGAGCTGGCCCTGGTCGCCATTATGCCTTATTTTGGTGCTAATGAGTGAACTGCCACCCCCCCCTCCCCCATAACTCCTGATATACCCCCACGGAACAAATTTTTTGAAAGACAAACTAAATTGAAAATGGTTGTATCTTTCGTTATTTTATTTCCCGTTTGATAAGTAGTCAATGGATCCGGATGATTTCGAACTATTACAGAACAAATAGCTCAGTATCAGAGAATAATAATCAGCACAGCCACACCCATTTTTTGACGATAAGTTATGACTTACGTCCCTGTAAATAAAACAAAAATGATCAAAAACAAGAGCATTTCCGTTATGCTAATTTATTAAAAGTTGAAATCTCAAAGAATTTGTGTTAGTAGGGTGACCAAATCATGAACTGGAAAAAACGGGACACGCCCAAGGAAGGGCCAAAAGGGAGGGGGGGGAATACCCTCTAAGACGGTGGTTCTCAACCTTTTTAGTGCCACGACCCTTTAACATAGTTTCTCGTGTCGTGGCGACCCCCAGCCACACAATTATTTTCGTTGCTACGTCATATGTGTAAGGATATGTGTTTTCAGATGGCCTTAGGCGACCCCTGGAACCGCTGCTCTAAGACCTGTAAAATAAAGTTAACTGCGCTGAGTTTCTTAGCGGGGTCCGGGGGGCTCCGCGGGAAGCTGTGTATTGAAATATGCTCATTTTTAACTATTTTGAGACCTAGAAATCTTTTTAAATTTACCTTCACTTTTGCAATTTAATTTAAACTCTGAGGTATATCACAAACGAAAACAATAATTTTGCAGTGAATTCGTATTTATTTTACAACATAATACAACACAACAAAATTAAATTTCTCTAGTCTAGGATTTTAATTGTTAATTGGTTTTAAAAACTGGACATTTAGGCGTCGCTAGGGACTTTTTCGGGACACCGTGTACGATCGTTTTTACGGGACATAAGGTCACCCCATGTTAGTCTAGAGTTTCTTTAGTGGGATCCCACGCGATTTTTAATAAACAAAAAAAAAAATTCTCATCACGAGAACTCCCGTGTACCCACTTCTATGATACATTTTTTTTAAAACTTCATTCAAGTTACAGATTATTACAAATTTTCAATATTTTCAGGACCTGTAAAATAAAGTTAACTGCGCTGAGTTTCTAAGCTCTGTTGGCTCAGTAGCTCTAGTACACAGGTTCTCAAGCGTTGTTCAAGTCTCGGCCAAGTTCAAATAGAGCAAAGTGATGCTTACCACAATATATTGGGAAAAGGTTTTTAAATAGGTTAAATTCATGGAAAGGAGAACATTTTAAAACTTAATTTTCAAATGTAGGTACCCTACTGCTATGCTATTTGACGACTTATTTGATGCCATGATTTACATTGTAACTCAAACTTTAAGACACAAAGTAACAGAAAAAGTAATTTAAAAATCACTTCTTTTCTAAGTCTATTGCATCAGCCGTCGATCCCAAATAAATCCCTCTGCAACCCCACTTGAGGTCAACTCCCGTTGTGGACTGAAAACCTGTGCTCTAGTAAGTTGATAATCCCAAGTCATTTTTTTTTTTTAATTCCAAACGAAACCCTTGCTACAAGTTGTTAAAAAATGTTGCTTTTAAATATTTAATGATGGATTCGAAACTTGAATTATTTGCAAAGAATACTAAACTCAAAATGTTATATTTTTATTTATTTTTTTCTACAGGTGGTGATACCTGTCTTTTGCTTAATAGACAAATTATTAATAGCAAGTAAACGAACCTCTCAACTAACCTTAACATTATTTTTTTTATTCATTAACAAAAAATAACAATTAAACTCAACCTTTTTATAGTTTAATTCAGTTTAAAATAATAATATATTGTTAATTTAAAACAATTTATCCCGCGATGAGGAAAATCCTATTCCAGTTTTTACGGAATAAGTAAATACCTAATAAATGAAAAACCCCTTCCTAAAGGTAATGAAACTTACATTGATATCTATTATAACCTACATATGAATATGTCTAAACAATTTAGCAAAAAACTTACTAACAAAGCGTGGAGGACGGAATTTTAAAAACAACAAACAAAGGGGGTGTCCATTAATTACGGCTACCAGAAATTTGATCGAAAGAAATTTTGTCCACGGAAAAAATGATCGACGGAAATTCGATCGAACGGAAATTTGGTCGAATCTTTTTTCGTTAACATTTTCATCATAATTTCTTTTTGAACGCACTGTACTATATAGTAAAACAAAATAATGCGAAATTTGAATTATTTAATGCGTTATTTACCCAAGTTAGGTTGGCACATTTTAGTAAAGAGTACCCAAGTCGAGCAAATCAATAACGTTCCCATAAAATAGGTCTACGTGCAGATTAGCCTTGGCTACTTCTGACTATGCCATACGTAAAGATAGGCGAAATAACCGGAAGTAAACAAACAGATTTCTGTGACTTTGTTTAAAATGTCACTTTATATTGTTCCCAAACACATTTTGAGAGTGAAATACTTGTTATCTGCATTGTGCATTCCACGGAGACATCGTTACAAAAATAAATGGGTAACTAACTGAATGACTGGCACTGGTTATGAAAGAGAATCGACAGCCGGATAATTTATATATTGTCACAAACAACCTTTGACTTTTACCCAAGTTAGATGTCACAATGTCAAGATTCAGGTGGCGAACTTATGTCCTAAATTTTTATCCCTAACCTAACCTGAACCCTAAATCTATCACTAAACCTAACCTGAACCCTAAACTTATCCCTAACCTGAGTTTTGACCCTATCGGATTCGGAACCAGTGACAAAACACGCAAATAACGTCAGGGTGCTATCTCTTCTTCACATTAGCCAAGATTCAAGATGTAGTAATTATTGTAGTTTGAGTACAATTTAGGACACCTGTTACTCTAATTGGTTGTAAAAAGGAGCCATCCATAAATGACGTCACGTGTCTAGGTGAGGATGTGTGACTAAGGGGAGGTAGGGTTTAAGTTTAAGCAATCAATGTGACATCACATGAAAAGCAGAAATTATAGTTAAGAAAAAATAAAGTTAACCAACTTTGACAGCCACGTTGTATAATCAAATGACAGATAATAAGACCATGAGCATACCATGGGCAGCTGCTGGATGCTTGTTACCTCAAAATAAGGCAGTCTTAGATGAGGCATCCTACCTAATAAATGAATTTATTGTATTATTGTAGCTGAAAATCTAGTTATTGCAGATTCAGTTCCACTTTTAGACACTGATTAAAAAAAGACCCAGAATACAGGAGGGGAAAGCATCTAACCATTTTGAGTTTGGGGATTTTATGTTATGTCAGTCTGTCTGTATTACATATAATTGCATTAATTCATTTCTTTGCTCCTAGGCTGTGAATTTAAAGAAAGAACCCAATTGCCAGCTTGCCCTTAACAACTTTGATGCCTTTTACAGACCTTATTATGGAGCTGAGTGGCCTTCAGTGAGAATTTCACTTTTGTCAATGCCCAAATATTGTGCAGTTTTAAACAAATATGGGCATGAAGAAAAAATTGAATCCCAGTTGGGCGATCTCACGTTACTGAATTTTACAGAATATGCTAGATACTTCCAACAGAAAAAAATTAAAAATAATCAAAATGGAGCAACATTAGAGCTAAAGTCAGAAAGTAAAGAAGTACCAGTTGTCAGCAAAAATAAAAAATTATCATTCAATCCACAAATGACCAAAGTATATCCAGATGAGACTCATTTAAAGGAGACGGCGTACAAAGCAGATATTGAAGTCTTAGAGCCTTACAAAGAGGAGCTTTATAAAGACAATTTAAATGTCTTTGTGCCAACAGAACAAGTTTATTCTGAAAAGGAGCAAATTATAAAAGAAGAAATGAGCATAAACGCTTTTCAGCCGAGAGATATTGGGATAAACATTATCCAGCCAAAGTCAGTAAATATTTCAAGATTTGTTGATGCTTTTGTATTTCCTAAAGGGGATATTTCTCAATTCCCACAACCAAGACCTCGTTATGGAATACATGGTAAGTAGTTGGAGATCAAGCATAATTGGTCTTTAGTTCAAGTGTAAGGACATTTCAGTTCTGACAAATATGAAGACGATCCATTTAAATTAATTTATGAAATATTTTTATATGCTTAGTTATATCTATAACAAGAAAGTTTGACCTACACTAATGGATTTACAGATGTATTGGTAGAGCAAGGGGGGCCAGTGGGGGGGTCTTGTGAAAAGCAAGACTTTTTATCACTTTGTGTACACAACAAAGTTTTAAAATATTTTATAAATTCTCTGAGGGATTTTTGTTGTACCGGGTAAATCAACTTCTTGAAATGAGCTCCCAATGAAAAAAATGGAATAAGTGTCCAGGCTCTGCAATGATACTGGTACCACACATTAAAAAAATGTAGGATAACCTATTTTGTTTCTCTTCACGACAATGTGAACAAAGAGAGTACTGTTTTATATACTGTATCTACAACCTGTCTTTGTGTTACAATCTTCTTCGTAACTTCGTAACTTCAAATGTTACGACCTTAATTCAGTAAGCTGAGGCCTTCATCAAATGTCGCGGCCTCCTTACGTTGTCTCCAGTTGCGACATTCTCTATACTTGACATGTTAGGATCTTCGTCCTTACACTCCAACACATCGCGCAGTAGTTACGTTTACTGCACAGTCAGCAGACTCCACGTTGTCTAGGGGTTTACAACACTGACTTAATATCTATAAATATAGATCACAACTCCAGCATGGAAATACAACAGTTCTTTATTTACAGGATCCAATAGCAATTCACAGTGACGACGTTCAACAGCGATAATACTAACTCTCTAACTACTGTCTCGGCTGGACTCTCTAACTACCTCTGACTGTCTAACACTCTCCCTGTCTCTCACTGACTCGGACTCTTACTAACTCTCCTACTCTAGCCAACACACATCCCTTATATAACAACACAACAACTCAGCCTACGCAAACGTGCAACACCACGGACTAACTTCACGCTCTGACCTCTCGACCAACAACTCACAAAACACTCACGATCCACAACTCCCCCTACCCAACATTAACACAGCCTACGCAAACGTGCAACACCACGGACTAACTTCACGCTCTGACCTCTCGACCAACAACTCACAAAACACTCACGATCCACAACTCCCCCTACCCAACATTAACAACAACTCTCGCTCACAACACTTTGCAAGTTTAGTCTGACTTTAATTTGTGCAATTTACAGGATATTACTTAATGGATGCAGCTTCTGTAATGCCTGTCCTAGCATTAGATGTGCAACCAAGAGACAATGTGCTAGATCTTTGTGCCGCTCCAGGAGGAAAAACCTTCACTATCCTGCAATCTCTCGACCTAGAATCTGGTAGGGGGCCATCCACTAAACAAATAAAATGATTCATTTTTTAAAAGTAAAAGTGCTATATAAAAATGTAAGCAAAATGCTTTAGACTGGAGACACATTGCTTATTGGTGAGCACCTAAAAAAACTTTCAGGGACATCTAGAGTTATTTTTTTAATGTTGTAATCACAACAGCAGTGTGTTACATGTACCGCTACTAAATTGACATAATTGTAGTGTATATACACATTTGTCAAGCACTATAAATCTTAAGAAATTTGTATAGGTACTTAAGTACAGCCTTACTTAAATCTTCATTGCATTATTACTTTTATACACATTGTTGGCTGGATATTAACATACTGGCATCTATAAACTATTATGACATTTTAAAGTAAGAAAATGAAGTATTTTAAATAATATATTAAATTCTTTCCATTAAAAGTATCTGCTTAAACACTTCTATATTTCAAGTCTTAGTTTCCAAACACTGTGCAATAAAATGATTCCACATTTCAATGCACGTAGTGAAGAAAACAAGGAAAGGCAAATAAACTTTAAGGTCTCATGTCAAGGGATCTTAACCTGTAGTCTATAAATATCATCCAATGTGTCATTATGGTAAAAAACGCTTCTTAAATTTTCCATAATCTGATGAGCTGCTGATGAATTATACAGTGGAATTTTTTGGGTGTAAATTGTATTGTTTATTTCATTTTAACATGTATATGCTTTTTATTTTCAGGTGGATCTTTGATTTGCAACGATCTATCACAAAGTCGTTTAAATCGTTTGAAAAATGTGTTAAGTTCACACTTTCCTCCAGATATTTCTGAGCAAGTGGTCATCACAAAGAAGAATGGCATCGAAGCGTTAACTCCAGTGTTTGACAAAGTAAATAAAATAACATTTTGTAGTTTTCTTAACCATAAATACCAGTAGTTTAAATGAGCTTTTGTTTTGCATTGATACAGATGCTTAGATTAAGGGTGGGCAACCTACAGCCTGCTGGCTTATGAGGCAAGATAAAACATGTAATCCAGCCTGCAAAATCTAATTATACCACTGCTTATTTTCAAACTGAACTGAACTCATATTGAATTTTTGAAGCCCAACTTCAGTGGTATTCATTAAAAGTAGACCAATTATTCTCTAACATCTGGCCAAGCTAAAAAGCCCAGTGATTTCATTTCATAAGCCTTGGAATATAACAGCTTAACATATTAGCACAGTATTTCCTAATTCTTCAGTATATGCCAGCTCTATCACTCTCTGAGGTGTAATAATCGCATCCCCTTTGGCTCGATTCTTGAAATTTTTTGACGTTTTACAAGTTTGCGGTTTAAAAATTTAATATTCAATATTGCTGTACCACACCCTTCCATTTGGATCGATCCATGGCTTTCTGCTTCTATATGCGGACCCCAGCTGATGTAAGTCCTTCTCAGTATCATCAGTTCATCTCATTCTTAGTCAATGAGTGAGCTATCTCCCCTACATTTATGCCTTTAAATCACTTTTGCTGCTGTGCAATCTGGCATCCTCTAAAGTTCTCCTGTCCAGCGCAGCCTTCCTTTTTTTAAATTGTTGCAAATATGGTTGAGTCTTCATACAACTGATATATCTCTTTGTCTAATACTGGACAGTATATTTTCCTGAGGATATTTATTTATTTATTTATTTAGGCATTTTTATATAGCGCTTATCATAAAGCTCTAAGCGCTTTACAATTATTAAAACATGTAAACTAAGTAAATACAAATGAGACACTAGGATAGTAACTACTATTCTATAGAAACAATGAAAATGGCTATAAAAAGAGGACACTTTGACACTTCAGGATTAAACCGAAACAGAAAATTAGGTAGGGCAAGGAGGGTGCATCACAGGTCATAGGCGGACCTAAACAGATGAGTTTTAAGGGACTTTTTGAAAATGGACGAGGTTTCACTATGACGTAAATGGAAGGGGAGCTGGTTCCAGAACGTGGGCCCATGGAAGCAGAAGGAGCGTTCACCGATGGTCTTAGTTTTAGTTCTTGGGATTGAGAGGGTTCTACTGTCAATGGAAGAACGTAGTTGTCTTGTGGGGATGTAAGGAAGCAACATGTTTTGAGCAGGTCATCTGCCTTTGGTGAGGGACCCAGTCTCACTTGCGTAAATTACAGCAGGTCTTATAATAGTGGTGTATTTGGACTTATTTGTTCTCCTTGAGATTTGTTTGCTATCTAGTAGCTTTTGTAGGTTGAAATAAAAACGTTTGCCTGCAGTTATCCTTTCTTTCAACTCAGTCATTAGTTCATTACTCTCTCAAAGGTGTGGTTGCTTATTTTGCTGTTGTCACTAATATTTGTGTTTTGTGATATTACCACATATTTTGTCTTCGCTTCATTTATCTCAAGACCACCTTTAACTGATACATCTTCAAGTTACTTGAATGTTCTTCTAATTATCTCATTGTTTTTTCTGCCCATTAGAGCTATGTAGTCCACATATGCCAGGTACTGCAATGGTTGGCTGTGTAAGGTTCCTGGTAGTTTTGGTTCTGTAATGCTACTCTGGAAGTAGTTTGTGGTAGTTTCACTGGTGCTCACGTGTTTGGTTTTTCTAAAGTGAATTTGAACAGGATACTTGATAATGAGTCTCCTAGTCTGCGGACTTGATTAATCTGTAACTCCTTTGTGCACTCTCCCTGTACTGCTCTACTTTTGGAATTAGTCATCATCATATGTACAAGCCGGGTAAGATTGTTGGGGGCGCCAAGCCTCTGAAGTGCATCATACAGTTATTTTCTGTCTACGCCATCATAAGCTGTTGTGTAGTCCATATAATAATGGTAGGGGGTGTTTTATTTGTAGCATTTCTCAGAGAGACATCTGGTAGCAAAGATATGATCTGTGGTTAATCTCTTCTGTTGGAATCCTCATTGATACTCACCTAGGATCTGCTCACTATACCTTTCCAGTTTTCTTGCTATTAGTTTAGTGAAAATTGTGTAAGTTCCATTAAGTAGGGAGATTTGACCAATCCAGCTTAGATCATTCCTTGTGATATAAGAGTATGTGCCTAGTACCTCATTCATTTTGTATTTCTTCTTCCTGCCAAATGCTGGATTTGATGTAGTTTTTTTACCTATACAGTTTTTTTTCCACCTAGTTTTATAATTTCTGCAGTGATAAGGTCTATTCCTGGGGCTTAATTATTTTTCATGGTTAAGATCACATCTTTTTTTAAATTTTTTAATTCAGAGTTGGTTGGCTGACAATGGGTCCAGTCCTGTTATGGTAGTTGTTATCATCCATGTCCGGAAATTTGTTTGAAAGAAATTTCGTCTATGAAAAATTGATCGAACGGAAATTTGGCTGAATCTTTTTTTCATTCCACACGTTAAATTTTTGCATCAAATTTCTTTTTGAATGCATTATTTTGTTTTACTATATAGTATCCCTTCACTTCTCTTTTTTTTTACTAGCTCTTTTATCTCTACTTTTTTTTTTTTTTTTTTTCCCAATCACATCCTTTCTTTCTATAACTTTCGTTATCCGCCCTTCTTGTTTCTTTTGTCATGTTCTTTTTGTCTCCCTTTAAAATTGATCGAACGGAAATTTGGCTGAATCTTTTTTTCATTTCACACGTTAAATTTTTTCATCAAATTTCTTTTTGAATGCATTATTTTGTTTTACTATATAGTATCCCTTCACTTCTCTTTTTTTTTACTAGCTCTTTTATCTCTTCTTTTTTTTTTTTTACTTTTCCCAATCACATCCTTTCTTGCTATAACTTTCGGTAGCCGCCCTTCTTGTTTCATTTGTCATGTTCTTCTTGTCTCCCTTTGCAGCATCATTAGCCAAGCCTTGTTTCTTTCTTCTATAAGTTCTATGAATTCTGCGTCATACCATTATGTTCTTTTTTTCCTGTCTGTATAAATCCTATTGCTTGCTCTGTTACACTTTTAAAAATTTGCTTAATTTTTTTCCCATCACTTATTTATATTGATGTTTTTTTGAGTCTCTAGTTGAGTTTGAATCTTCTGTTGAAACGCCTCAGTAACTTTGTGGTCTCCACTTAACTGCTGGCTTGTTAACCAGTTTTAAAATTATTTAATATTACAAAGTTAATTTGAAGTTTAATAATATTAAGAAAAAAAGTTTGATATAAAAATGATGGCATCAAAATAAGAGAAGAAGAAAATTGAAGAATACTAGATTCCTTGAAAATTATCAGGCAGTTCCAAACAGACAAAAATCTATTTCCATCTGCACAAAAAAGATTGCAAACCCCTGGTTTCAATGATAAAGATATATTAATAAATCTGGTCACTATGTCACATGCATGAGAAAATTGTATTAACTTTAACTTAGCTCTGTGTGTAGTGTGACCTGTTGGACGGTAATATAAAATACAAACATATAAATAAGCATGCACAAACCTTTTAATAAAAACTGTTGAAATTGATGAATAATATGGTTTGTTTTTATTCTAAAAATAAAAATAACTGTAAATTTCTTACCCTATTTCTTGAACAGTAATGCTTGATAGAAATTTTTATATTTAAATGATGAAACTGTTTGAGCTGTTTGAGATTTGACTCTGTTTTGTATTTTACAAGCATTTAAAAATTAATCCTTAACATATGTTCAGGTTTTAGTGGATGTGCCATGCAATGCAGATCGCCATGTGGTTACAGAGGATGACAATAATTTATTCAAAATCTCCAGGACACATGAGAGATTGTCACTCATGGAAATTCAGAAAGAACTGTTGCTGTATGTAGCATTTGACCCTACTATACAAATATTCTTTGACTTGAATCCTTTTATAATTTTGTTTTTTTATATTCAAAATGCCTGATTTTTATTTTGTTTTTAATTTGAACTGCCTTAAAACAAATCTGTTATTATGGAAAATGTACTATAAAATGAGTACTGGTTACATACAATTATTTTATATCTCCATAAGGAATATGCTATTACTACTACTACTGCTATAATTTATCAGTATGGAAACAGAAGAAAAGTGGATTTTTTTTATTTGAAGTAATTGAATACATTTGAGTTTTATTGTAATCGATATTCTGTCCCTGAATTTCATTGCCATTCTACAACCCCCTTTCAAATTTCTCTTTTCCTAGATCTGCCATCAAATCTTGTGTGAGGGGAGGCACCATTGTCTATTCCACCTGCACCCTGTCACCAGCTCAGAATGATGGCGTTATTCAAGCTGCCTTAGAGGAACTGTGGGAAACATCTGAGGTAATATATAATAAAAACGGTTTGACTTGGATGCTCAAAACACAATTCCTGAAGGAAACACAACAGCAGTTTCATGGATTCTTTTCATGAAATAACTTTAATTTTCATGTAAGTCTAATGACGTTCTTAAATGGCCTTCCTCCTGTCTGTAAGTTAAACTCTTAATCCAGTGTTGAAAGCCCATGGGAGGGGTGTCAAATTTGTGTACATTTTAATATTTCTTGACATTGATTGAACTGTCATTTTTACAACTTGAATTTCATGCTAAGAATTTAAAATAAAATTGATAGGTTGCCAGTAATACCAGATGCAGGTGGAACATTATTATTTCTTCCCAAGATCCTTTCAGGGTGCTTTACTAACTCCATCAAAATTGCATAAAATATTAGTGGTATATATATATATATATTAATCTACACAATAAGTGGCTTAAGTGAGTTTTTTTATTATTATCATCATTTCTGACAATGACATATGTCCCAGCTGCTTATAAATCTCCATGGTGATAAATTTAGGACCACAATCTATGTACACCTAAAAGAAAATTCTTTGCTTTATACACCCCGCCTCCTTTTTTTTTTTTATTCACTGGTACATTTTTGGCCTTTCCTCCATTAACTTTACATAAAATTGAGCATCCCACACACGACCCAACCCCCCCCCCCACCCTCTTTTTTTTTAAAGAAAGAATTAACTTATTTACAGACAATAATGTCATGTCATGAACCATTTTAAAAATTATGTCACCATTTTTCTCTTTTTTTTTTCAAACCCGTTGCTGTTGAAGGCCTACCTATATTGTATCTATTGACAACCAGGGATTCATCCTTACGAAATAATTAGGTCACAAATTACATCACTCATATGGAATCATACAGTAGACTTAAGTTGTCTCTAGGCTATAAATAACCATTGTGTTATCTACAGAGCTTGTGACAACACAAAGCGACAGTAGGACAGTTATTAGGAAACGTGGCTGTGATATTTTAAAGCCTTTTGAAAATAATTAGAAATCATGGATGTCATAGAAATTTAGGTGATTGTTGGCTATGTTATCCATTTAAATTGACTGTAAATTTAGGTGATTGTTGGCTATATTATATTATAGGCTGTTAATAGACTGTCATAATTTCAGAATGCAATAATTATTGCAGGATTATGGATGGCCCCTTTAAGAGAGAATGTTTAAATCATTAATTCAGTGAAATTTAGTAGTAAAGTAAAGCTTGCTGATGTAAAAACTAAATATATATATTATGTACTGTGATATTGTTAAGCTGGATGCTCTAAAGATTGTATACACACCTACCCTGGTAAAACTTCACCACCTGATGATATTTGTAAGAAATATTTGCAGCGAAAAAAAACATATTTGAAAGTTATTAAGCAATAGGAAAGTGCTTATAACATAATGCATGCACCAATGGAGATAAATGCTCCTAGAAAAAAAGTTTATCAAGCAGGATTTCAAATAGTGAATAACACATAACAAAGAAATGGCTGTGGGGATTATAAATCATCCGCAAAAGCCTATACATATAACTTAAGATGATATTAATGTACGCTTGGGTTAGACTGTAATTCGACATAGCAACTGTACATGTTTAGCTGCAAATAAAACCCAATTTATAATCAACCCCTGACTATAGCTAAGAAGTATTTATTGGGGCCTCAGCTTTTTTTTTTCCCCCTGCATAAACCGCCGCAGGAAACCTGTTGCCCGCCTTTCTAGAAATAAACAAAATAAAATCCAAATGAATTTTTTTTTTTTTCTGTTTGAAATTATAGATTGAAGTGGCTGTTGAAGACTTGACGTCGCTTGCCGATCTCTTTCAAGATGTTTTCAAGTTCCACAAGCAATCGAAATATGGCAAGGTGATACTACCCAATCTTCTAAACAACTTTGGGCCCTCGTATTTTGCAAAACTGAAACGAATTAAATAATTTAAATAATTTTCCTTGGCGTTTTTTATTTACATGTTTTGTTGTCACAGAATCATGGAGACATTTTGTTTTTGTTAAAGGTGAATAAGAAGGTCCTATATTCAGTCTAAGCAAGAAAGCTTAATACCCTTTTTATCCAGATACTTTTATAATGTATTATTAGTTATTTTGCTTGTGATATACCACACAAAAAATGAGAAGGATGTGAAGACTGTAGGAGAACTTTGCCTCGGGATAAGCAATCCTGCTAATCTCTTGATGCAGGTATATTGGGGAGGGGGAGTGGGTGGGGGCAGAAAACAAGACACTAAGACTTAATGAAGCAGGGTTCAACTCCTCTGTTATTATATGTTTTAAAATACCTCATTGTAGATTGTTTCGGAAACAGTAATAAAAAGACTAACTTATATTGGAGCTAACAAAAGTGACCTTGGATGGCGACTCATCTAAGAGAAAGGCAAACTCTGAAATCAGGCGAGGGTTCGCGCATAGAGATGGAAAGCCATGGATAGATCCGAATGGATGTGGAGCAGGCCAGGGCCCTACATGGGTTCTAACGCCACTGTTGCCATTGAATCTAATAGACAAGGACGAGAGAGTGAGGCTGACGAATTGAGCAACCCTCCCTCACTTTAAATTTTTAAAAATACAGCCCAGGGGCCATATAGTGTGTATGCAAAAAAAAAAAATGTCAACTTTTCGCCTAGCCCCCCACCTCTCCCTGTTGCAAGCATACTTTTTTAATGACCCCCTGCTTACCTACAATGTGGTTTTGGAACCCTCACCCCGTCCCCAAAAAAAAATAAAAAAATCCAACAATCTTTATATAATTATGACGTCACCGTAAACAAAATCTTTCACGGCTGCCCGTTCGGCGAGCCCAATGGCTCCCAGAATATAATCCGCATTGCCCCGGGTGCCCGTTGCAGTGCCGTCTTAAGGCGTGGGCACACTGGGGCCATGGCTCGGGGCTGCACTCTTCTAGGAGACACACACTTCTAGAGTTATCACGCTGCACATATTGGTAATGAATATTGAACGATTTTGATATTTAAATTTGATTTCCCAATTTTAACCTACGATATTAATAATCGCCACGTACCAAAATCAATATTATAAATGCGAATCATAAGTTTTTACGCTTCTTTAAAGTGGAATAGCTCTTTTCAACAAAATTGTTCCTCTCCCAGATGTGGTTGGAAAATAGTAAACTAGGAAATGTTTGTTGATAACCAAGTTGTTTGTTGATAACCACGTTATTTTTGTTGATAACCATGTTATGTTTCTTGATAACCACGTTATGTTTGTTGATAACCACGTTATGTTTGTTGATAACCACGTTATGTTTGTTGATAACCACGTTATGTTTGTTGATAACCACGTTATGTTTGTTGATACTCACGTCGAACTAAGATGTTGGCCCGTAACAAAATAAAAGCGGAATATATTGAATTATTTCTTATAACTTATAACTTTTAAGATAATTTATTTGGTATTTCTCGTGGTAGTGATAGTAGGCTATACGATAGTTAAGCTGGAAGGTGAAGTTTTAATAGAGCTACGTCAGAGGAGCGTAGAAGTAGAAGTGGTGGGGACACTTTTTTTTCCTTTATATTGAGGGGTCGCATTTTTACTTTATAGCCAACTGCAGAGTTTCTATCGTGGGAAAATATAGGCATTTATTGCATAAATTTTCACTCACTGTTTTAGAGCTCAATGTCATGTCCATGTTACTTTGCTGACACAGATATCTATTTTTATTAAATGCATTATTACAATAATTTCCCAGTGTTTTGTTTTAGCGGAGCCCTTGTGAGTTCGTAAAGACAGGCGAATCCATTTTGTTTTCAAGCTACACGCTTATTCTTTTTTCATGATCTTTTGAGCGGATCGCCGCCATTTTAACATAACTATAATTTGTAATAGATTAGTATGTTTCTAGGTGTAGAACCATTTAAGCGGGAATGAAACGTAGTTTTATGAGTGGAGCACAGAGGAGGAGAAAAAGAACTGCCTGCCGAGGGGACAAGGGAAATGGTTAAACTTGCACAGTTAACAGCTTGGTCAAATCCAAGCGAAATAGCAGCTACCAGTGCTGATTCTCGAAATAAGGTAGCGTCATCTACATGCAGCAATCCAGTTCCAGAATTCCATTACATATTTCACATACTGTGGGAAATGGCACTAGATGAAATGGTACGAGTGGGATTCACGACAGAGATCCAGGGCCACGGATATTAAGAATACTAGTACAGTGGCGTACTGGATTCGTCATGTGCCAGCATTGTAAGAATCATGATGGCAACATTTCAAACTCGGGCAGAGTGCACCCTCGGAGCTGGAGACAAAAGAACTAAGACAATGTACTTATCAAGAAATGTGTTCAAACCACTGGCGTAGGAAGGGGGGTGCAGAGAGGCCGGTCCGCCCCGGGCGGCATTTTCATCGAACTACAAGGTTTTTTTCGTGGTCGCTGCGGCAAAAATCTTTGCCTGCCCCGGGCGGCATTAAACCTAGCTACGCCACTGATTCAAACGTGAACTGCGGAATGGCGAGTGTGTAAAACGCGAATGGCTATTATTATTATACTCTATTCACCACCAGGGATTCTCTGTGTTGTTTTGCATGCCGTATATTGTACAAGATAGAATTTCCCTTTGCCACATCAGGATTCAATGACTGGGAACATAAAAATCGTATTATAGAACATGAAAAGATTTCTGCGGGCGCCCATAGGGAAAATGCTTTTTATGCTATTTTGGAATAAATTAAAAGAGTCGATTATTACTCAATAATTTTGGACTCCACTTTAGATATTTAACATATTGATTGATCAACTGTCATTTACGCTCCGATACATTCGAGTATTTCGAGCATGAAAGACTGTTGAAAGTTTCATTTAAAAAAATAAAAAGATTCATTCCCATATTTTGTCATGGAGCGAAGGGTCCTAGAGGACACTGTTGTGGATTTTCTACATGAGAATAAAATTCTGCTATCAAACTGCTGAGGTCAATCGTATGACAATGCTTCAAATACGCCTAAAAGCTATACTGGATTGCAGGCAAGGATATGTCAACTGTGCGAGTTTGCCGTGTATGTCCCCTGTGCCGGACACAACCTGAACTTAATGAGCTTAAAGCAACAAAGTTTTGTCTACAAGTTGGAAAATTCTTTGACTTTGTTCAGCACCTATATTCCTTGTTCTCAGCTTCTACACATCGATGGAATGTTCTGGTATTTTCCTTAGGAAAAGCTCTCGTTGTCGTAAAGCCTCTGTCTGACACAATAGGAAATGAGTAAAACAAAGTAAGGTCAAACCTGAGAACGCAACAAAGCAACGAAGCCTTCGTCAGCGAACAATTAACAGAAAAAACAGAAGAAAAAATAAATATAAAAAATAGCACTTGGCTGAGAAGTAGTGTCCGAGAGGGCAGCTAAAAGAATGGTGACAGAAAATATGTTGGTGAGAGATAAAATAGGGAAGAGGGAAAGAAAAGAGGAGAAGTTATTCCACTGCGACAGGTCGAGGCGTGGATGGGCGGGGCTGGTTTAAGTTGTGAATAGAGACATGACATTCATGCCATGCGGCGTCAAGGTCTCATAGGTCAGGATAAGCTTGTGTTCCAAATTCACGGTTCGGTACATCCCAACATGGAAGTCTGACACAAGACGGTCAGCACATTTTGATGACAACAATTCTCTGCGTGGAGGTTTCGAAAAAAATAAAGATGCGCGGGAATCTATATCAGCTAACGCTGATCAGAAAGTGAATACGGGGCGTGAGGCAGAAGGATTTAGCAAGACAATGGAGGAACTGGAAACTATCGTTCTGACAATTCTCCGGAACAACATTCTGGAAAGAGTGAACAAAACAGGTAAGGTCATGAAGCCAAAGATGTTGAAGTTGACACAGGAAGAATATGCTGAGTTCTACAAGTCTTTGGCAAATGATTGGGTGGACCACCTGTCTGTGAAACACTCTTTAGACAAATAGAGTTCAGGGCACTCTTTTTTATTCCTAAGAGGGCTCCTTTTGATATGTCTGAGAATAAGAATAAACCACCACAGTCAAAATAGGGGGATTTTTAAAGTGCAAAGAATATCAATTTTAAGACAAAATACTTTTTTTAGTCCATATTAAATACATCCAATTAAGCGAGCATGTGGAACTAACAACATACAAGAAAAAAAAAAAAAGAAACCGACAAACAAACTTTGACGTTTGCATAATATTATGTTCTTGAAACTTCCACACATTCATAAACACCTGTGTATTTAAATTATCACCTTTTTCTTTTATTAATTTCTTCATCAAATCCGGCGAAGAGCCCATCAGCGAAATGGCAGCGACGAATCGTCATAGATTAGGTACAGGCAAAGCAAAGAACTGTCTGGAGCGCCTTATTCTAAGGACGTCATTTTAATTGGGTGATTTTTTTTTTTTAAATATTCATGACAAATACATTTTACACAAGTGAAGAATATGATGTTGTTGACAGTGCCGTCTTAAGGCCTCAAGCATCTAAGGGCATCAAGTTGCTCATATTGTTAATGAATATTAAAAGACTTTTTGGCAATTTGCTTTCAAAGTACAATGGGAGGCTTGTTTCTGGAGAGGATTTTTTTCCCTTCAATTTTGTAAACATTAATTCCATGGAAATGGTACTAGTTTTAGAAAAAATTCGTGTGTTTAAAAAGATAGGAATTTGTAAGGATCTGGGGTAAGGATAACGCAAAGAGTTTTACAATTTTAATCAGCCTAATTATAAATCTTAAAAAGTTGTAGTAAATTGAAATTCCAAATAAATCTTTCAATTTACTGATTTTTTTTAATGAAATGTGAACTGCCTTAACTTCCCTCAGATAAATTACATAATATTATACACCTGGGCTCAACGTGATGAAGTTGTTGTTTTTTTTTACACCGGATCTGGGTATTTTGAGAAAATACTCAGTGGTTCCAAGTTTTACAAACACGTCTTAACCTCTCATTTTTATAAAATATATGTCGGCTTTTAAACACTAGGCTTAAATACAGTGGCGTAGCTAGGGTTGGTCACCCGGTGCGGTAAACTCATGGTTCACCCCCCCCCCCCTCACCCCCCCCCACCCCCCCCAATTTCCATGATGTTTTTCTTCTTGTTAAAATAAGTCCACAATATAACAATAACAAGAACAAAAACAAATAAATCGAAGGTCATGAAGTTAATATATTTAAAAACGTTAAGTTATAGCTGTATTTACTTTAAATTTACAATTTAAAAATTTCCGTTCCCTGTCTTCAAAGCTGCAAACCTGTCAATCACTTGATCAAAATCAATGTTTTTCACTGTATCACTTTCAATTGATAGCAGAGCCACATCAGAAAACCTTGACTGTCACATGGTGGATCATAAATATTTGTTGATAAGCTTTAGTTTTGAAAAGCTCCGCTAACATGAAGCCACATACACACACGTCGTAAGAAAAAAATTAAAGGCTTAGCGAGAGTATTGGAAATATATTCTAGTAATACCCATTCAGCTTTGAATTTCAAAACATAAAATACTGACCAGTCCATGACTTTGAGAAATCAGCTGCTTTTAGATGTCTTCTAAGCCTTGATATTTCTTTTTATAGTTCATCTTCTGATAACTCATCATTGAAAGAAGTTAGTTTTGGAACGGACACCAATAAATCTTCTTCACTTGCTGATTATAGACTCTTGGGTTGAACAGACCCAAGCAAACTTGGTACTTCCTTGATCACTGATGATCTGATGTGGAGTTCAGAATGAAAGCGATCAATACACTCCAGCATCTCCTTATTGTTTTCTTCTCCAGAAAGAGTCCAACATCTATTAAGTGTTCTCCTGCCATTCTCTTTTTAAACCTTAATTTTCTCTCTAAAGAAATTCCATATTGGTCTGATTTTAAAAGTGCCTTATCAATAGCATGTTCCACCAAGTGACTACGCTTCTCGTGCAGAAACAATCTTAAGGCCTCTAGGTTTGTCAAGAGTAATCCCTTAAATCTGCAGATACTGCTGTGTAAGATTAACTTCCTCAACTAGATCAGCCCAAAGTTAAAGGTAGCAGATAAACGTGAAATCACAGACAACATGTAAAAGATCTTGAGCTTAACCTCTTGTATGCAAATTTTTACAAGGTGGTTAAATAGAGCTTTAATCGCCTCCCAACATTCATCAAACATATCTTTCACTGTTTTAACACCAGGATGATGAGCACTGCAAAGCGTTGTTGATATTCTTTTCACATACGTTACAGTGTGTTCAATTAGAAGATTCCATCGATTATTGGATGCAGCAAAGAAGGAAAATATTCTTTCAAGAGTGTTGACCACACAAGTGAATGGCCCACACATCCATAAAAAATTGCTTTCTTATTATTTCTTTCCCGAATGGCTTGAACATCTCCATGGATTCCATACATTGTGGCAGCATTATCTTAACCCTGAGCTTTGAACATCAGTATGTCTAGTCCATCACGCTTGTCTAGTCCATCACGCTTGTCTAGTCCATCACGCTTGTCTAGTCCATCACGCTTGTCTAGTCCATCACGCTACAGATCAGGTAGTGCGAACAGATCAGGTAGTGCGAAGTCTAGTCCATCACGCTTGTCTAGTCCATCACGCTTGTCTAGTCCATCACGCTTGTCTAGTCCATCACGCTTGTCTAGTCCATCACGCTTTAGCTTGTAAGAATCTCAGAACTGAGGTCATCAGCTTTTTTTTTACTTCTTATCGGGAAAATGCAAGAAACACTCCTCTCACTTCAACTTTCCCATTGTGGATTATCACATAACTGATCACTACAAACATCTGGTCACTGTTTGATATATCAGGTGTACTTTCGAACATAATTCCAAAATACCTCGCAGGCTTAATATCCATGATTAGAATCTCCTTCACATGATTTGCAAGGACAATTATAAATTCATTTTGGGTTTCTGGTGAAACGTAAGATACCTTTTGGGTTTCGATATATAATAGTAGGCCTATATGTGTCTTCAAAGAACTTTTCTTTATTTAAATACAAATAAAAAGAATTAATCATTAAAAGATTGAAAATTGTGTAAAATAATATGTTTTTTTTATTTTGTAATGTTTTTAATTTTTACCGATTTTTATACTTGTAACCGCCCGACCACGCTTATTTGGTATCAATGGAAATCCATATTTTTCACAATTTAGATAAATATAGCCTCCTGTCACTTAAGGAAGTTACCGAACACTTCAAACGGGATGGAATAATGACTGTGTTTTTCTGACCTAAAAATAGGGTCATCACATTTCTGACGCATTAATCTTGAACTTTTAATAAAGCACGCATTTGGATTGGTTACATTTGTTAAAAATGTATTTGTGATCGTTTATCCTTTTATGAATCTTGGTTAGACCGAGTAGTGTGTGTTCTGTAAATATGCAATTTTTCAATCGGGTGTCACCCCTAAAATGGTGTCACCCGGTGCGGTCCGCACCCCCCTCGCTACGCCACTGCTTAAATACATTCCTATAGTCTACCTGCTGGCCTTAAACAATAGAGCTATAGACAGTCCTACACCTTATGTGTCGGCTTTAAAACAATAGTCCTACAGACATTTCTACACCATACTTGTTGGCGTGTAAAACAATGATCATACAGACACTTCCCCACCATACCCGAGTCACTTTAAAAAAAAAAAAAAATTAATAGTCGTCTCCCCCTAAAGAAAAAGAAACTATTTACCTGTTCAACCATCACGCATGACGCTCGCTGCGTGACAGCCTTTTTTCACTAAAAAAAAAATATAAAAAATATGTGGAGTTTGAAGAGGAAAAAAAATAATTTTACCTGTCGACTAGATTATGGAGATTTAACCAGGCGCGTTTGCTACCGCCATGGCTAGAAACATTTATCTTAAGTATAGAATACTAGTTATGATTCCAATTAATTAATTAATTTTTTAAAATATTTTTTTGGGGTAACTTCAAGCCAAAAGTCGAAACTTTTTCTTGGTTCGAGCTAAGCTACGCCTTTTTTTAAGAATGCCATTGTAAATTCAAACAGATTAGTTTTTAATGTTCTATATACAATTTAAAAATAATTATATTTTATTTTTATGTTTAGTTGCCAGAATAAGTAGACCATATAAGACTGCAATGCTAGGACTCCTTTCTTTTATCTTCTCCAACAACACCTATTAAAACTATTGCAGCGGGTAGGGGTGCTACAATTGTGTGCCAAAATCCCTAAGGCCGAGATGAGTTCAGAATTGTAGGCCATTTACCCCAACGAGATCCGTTATATTAGTTATATGGTGAAATTAAAATCCAATGTTTGAATTGTAAGTGCCGCTTCTATACATCTAAAATTAAAATCGAAAAAGAATAATTAGGAGAAAATTCTTTGCTACCTCAAAATATTGGAGCTGAGGTAAAAATTGCCCCACAAATGAAACAATTTGAGAATCGCTTTCCTTAATTTTTTCAACATTTCTTTAGGTAAAAATGGTTAAAGTCGGCAAATTGTGTTGATGGCCGTGGAAGTTAGTTTGCGAACCCCAATATTTGAAGTCACGTGGTCTCTTCTACATTTCATCCGTCGCTGAAAAAGACGCTTTTTTTCTTTAGAGAAGAGAATTTGGCCCTTTTATTCTAAAAGAAAGTAGCATCATTTGAATTTAAAGGTTAGTGCAGCTCAGCAGTGCACGCATTTCTCTAAACGTCATTTAAAATAAGTAACATACAGCCTAGTAATTCAAAAAAAAAAATGAGCTACTAACGGAACCAAATTTGCACAGCACGCTTTTTTAGACAGAAACCGCCATCTTGTTTTAACCGGCAAAGTAGATCATTCAAGCAATTGAACACCAAAGTTGTAGACCAAACTTAAGCTAAATGATAAGTAAAAAGTGTAAGATGTCATGCCGTGATGTCCACATGCTCTCATTTTCCTCATTTATTTTCCCTTTGTAATTGTACCGTATTGTTACTAAGTAATTTTCTAAAACTAAGGGTTGACAGTACTGGCAAGGAAGAAGAATGACTGAGGGACCTCTTCTTAGTAATCTTAGTTTAGTCTTACTCTTGGTAGTCTAAGGATTAGCTTTTGGTAATCTACCACTTGAGCGTCGGCCAAGAAAAAATCCAGTTTTTCCGGTTGGAAGGGCTATATAAACAACTATTCTTACATTGGAGTCTTAACATTTTTGCTTCCGTATAGAGGCTATAATGGCTATAAAGTTATATAGCACAATACTAATACATTTAAATACCTATTACTGCCAAGCAACCGATATGCCAGGAAGAAAAAGAGACAACAATTATTTTTTTTGATCCAGATGACGCGGATGTCCACACACAGAATGTGGAAAACGTGAATGCTCGGAAAGCATAAACTGAAAGACAGTTTGGCACAAGAAGAGCCGGTGATCTTTCCCCTTCGTATTTACGTGGATTCATGTACCACAACCGTTTTTGTGGAAATTATATTTTTTAAAACTTCATTGTCAACTTGGGGGATAACTATGCATAATTCCATTTTCAAACATTATCTTCTATTTCAAAAAAATTGTTATAGTTTTTCTATTTTTAAAAATTTTTTAATTATTATGGGAATGAATACGTACAACCAATGTCATTAAAAATAATATAAGAATAGTTGTTTAAATAGCCCTTCCAACCGGAACAGCTGGATTTTTTCTTGGCCGATGCTCAAGTGGTAGATTACCTAGCTTTTCAAGTTTAGTTTCTAACCAGTTCATGGTAAAATATGGTACTGTTTGGAAATAGGAACAAGATATATGGCCAATTTAAGGGAGGTATGCCAAAATATATGGTTGGTGATCTGGTTCAATAATTTCAAAAAATATCTGGCCTTGCTTGAAGTTGAAGAAATTATTTACTGCCCATGCTACAAATACTACAAACATCTTGAAATCAGTTAATTCATATCATTTTAAAAATCTAAGGCTTACAAGTAGCATTATCATAATTAACCTTCGCCTAATTGTGGGATAGTGAGACACTGAGTCACACTGCAAAGCATTTCCGTCTAGCCAGAACCTTGCCATTATTCAATAGGGTTTTCGTTATTGATGACTGTTTGTTTATGACTATATCAATGTCTCAATGTATTCAGCCTTTAACTTTTTTTCAAAGACTTCTTTCTGACTAATCCCAAAGTAGGATTAATTAATCGTAGGCTGATTGTAGCCAATTCCATCCAAATAACCATATTCAGCTCAGAAATTTTACTGTGAATTGTCAGTAAAAAGTAAAAGGGAGAATAACTTATGCTTGTAATTCTAGCATGATAAATAAACTAGGGCGTGTCAAGATTTGCGCCTTGCCATGTATCTCAATCCTTGCCTTGGAGAGGGCATCTCTTTAACTTTTAAGATGTCACAGGCTAATTTGCAGTTAGTGACAGGGCCGGTGATGTCTTCCATTGTGTGTAGGTCATGGGGGTTTCCTAGGTCAACTACCTGCTTTAGTTCCATTTTACAAATGATATTCATTATTTTTTAGTTAGTAATTATTTTACAGGGGCCTAAAGGTTTTTTTTCTTATTTTCTTTGGGGTGTGTGTATCCGGAAATTTGTTTGAAAGAAATTTCAACGGAAAATTAATCAAAAGCAAATTTGGTTGAATCTTATTTTTCAGTTCACAATGTTAAAATTTTGGGTCACGTTTCTTTTTGAATGCATTATACTATATATATAGTAAAACCTGAACAATAAGTAATATAACTTTCCCCTTCTTCACTGAGCATTATCCGCGGCATAAGCACAATCTGAAGATCGATAGTTAATGTGAAATAAATTAAAAATAAATTTTCCATTCGTCTTTATTAAAATGTAACTTATAGGGTTGAAAAGAAATGAAAAAAGAAACTTATCCTTGCTAATGCCCCAAGACCAAGATGTCCACCAGAAGAAAAGATGTGCTCATTGTAAAAAATCCTGACTTTTGAATGGTTAATAAAAAAATCCTGGTTTGTTATTCCTTTCTATATAATGTTGCAATTTTAAACAATAATTTTCTGGGGAGAGGTAGGAAAACACACCCACACGGTTACCAGAAATTTGTTTGAAAGAAATTGAGTCGAAGGAAAATAATACTTATTGTTAGGTCTAACTGTTGGCCCTGTCGCCCAGTTCTGATTTCATAACAAGATGGCAAGAAATGGAAGTAGTTTCATATATATTTTATGAGAAATGTATAAAATGCTCTCACCCATACAGTGATAAAAATCTGTGTGAATTTTGTATACTTATGGTGAGAAAAAAGCAATAGGGATGCTGAACAAATCCTAATAGTTAACATCGAATCCTTAAAAAAATATTTTTAACAAAGTATTAATGTAGGGAGGCGTATTCCTAATGTTTTATTGATTCTAATAACCTAATGAAACCATATTCTAACAGATGAGTCAAAACGGGGAAGATGTTGACATGAAAGAAGAAACTTTGACACCAGAAGAGGAGGCGGAAGCCCAGACCCTCCTTGAACATGGAATCAGTAAAACAGTTGCCAAAGAACTTCTGAATATCTATAAAACAGGTATGACTGTGAGCATTGTTAAGGGGTGGTGCAGGTGAAACCTTTTTGTCGTTTTGGGTGAATTTAAATAAAATATCCATGTTGGGTCTAACAATGACAATGGATATAAAAATTCTTTGGTTTCCATGGTGACTTATAAAAACATCAGCCATTTTGTTTTTTTAGTGTGCATTTTAAAACCTTGAAAAGCCTATTTTCAGTTATGATCATTTGGCATGTAATAAAACTTTGAATAACAGGACTTTTCATTTATATATTAAATTGAACAATTTTTTAAGCTTTCCAGTGTAAAATATATTTATTTATTTTGATAGGTAAACTATCCCAATCTGACCTTGATGATAGAGCAATGGATGCTCTCAAAGAGTTTTCTCCTGAGGATGCAATTAAAGTGTTGAGGCAATTTTGTGAAAGCAATCTTGAGCATGTAGGAAATAAAAGTGCTTTCTTATGTGGTCAGATGAAAACCTATAGGCATAAGTTGAGAGCAGGCAATATGCCACCACTTGTCAAAGGTCCTGATGAAGCAAAATTGAAGGTATGACAGTAATGTTGGCATGGTCTGTTGCTTAAAAATAATTTGTGGGTTAAAGTTTAAATGCTTTTGAAGTCTATAATAAATATTTGTAGCTCATACTAGTTCAACTGAAGATTTTATTTTTTTTCTTAAGGAAATTTTGGATCGTACTGGATATTCTTTGGATGTTACAACAGGACAAAGGAAATATGGAGGTCCTCCGCCTGGTGGTGATCCCACCCCACCGGGCACTGGACATGAGGTATATTTTATTTTACTCTCCTTTTGGTAGGCTTTTTTAAGAAATTGCTAAAAGAGTCATATTCTTTGCACCTACACTTTCATTTGAATGAACAAGAAGAGTGTTTGGTACCTCTGTTATAGGAACTAATACACCATTGATGTATTTGTTGGGTTAAAATGTTAATTTCCTTCTAAACTCTTAAAAATCTAGACATGAGATACTTATGACTATATTAGATTGTACACAATAATTAATGGGACTAATTAACTTTGTTTACATTTACATCTCTTAGTGCATTGTGATGACTTTATATTAGGTATTCTAAATGAAAATTTCATATTGAAATTAAATAAAATGTAACTATTCCTCTAAATAGAGCTTGGCTTCATCAAAACAGAACCACAAAATTTAACTCTCTATCTCCAAAATTAAAAAAGTTATTAATTTTTTTAAAAATCAAGAACAGGGTCAATTTTTAGACGCCAGGAAAGTGTAGTTTTGACACCCTCTATCTTCTAAAATAACTAAGTTAGAACTTTCAAATCTCTTGCACACACAACCAGTTATACATATAACAAACTCAATTTTTTTCAGGGTTGTCACTAAAATGTAAATATAATTTTTATTCATTCAAAATTGAGCCGAAGCTCAATTTTACAAAATATTAAAAGGGAGACAAAAAGTCAATTTTAGCTCATTTTCAAAAAATAAAAAAAAAACAATTAATCAAGCTATTGTAAATATACAGGAGTCAAGTAAAAGGTACAAAAGCTAAGAATTTCATTGATTTTTAAAAATTCATAAAAAATTAATGAGGCAAGATATCAACAAATTTTACACAGTATTGTAGAAAATGTTAATCTTTTTAATAATAAAGCAACCGGCTGAAGTTTAGGAAACAAAATTCTGCTCAAGAAATATTATTTTTGTATAGTATTTTTGCACTGAAAATTTATAATTTCCAGCACCTTAAAAAACGTTAATATTATATATGTATTTTTAAAAATTCTGGAAAATTTGTCAGAAAAATAATTAACTATGAATTAGTATTGAAAGTCAATTTGCTGCATTTATTTGCATGTCTGTATGGGTCTTGAGACATTTCCCTACACTGGTTTAATGACAAATTTCCGTACATGTACAACAACAACCTGTTGAAAGAATATTTTGTTTAATTTGCATTAATTTTAAATTGTATTTATAATATTATCGTAATAGTCATCAACTTAGCATTTATGATCATATCATTGCTATCAGTATAATAACAAAATGCACATAAAACTAATGATATTACAAGCGGTACTACTAACCTGTACTGTTACATGGCCTATGCTAATATGTTGTTGATGACTGATGACAATACTGACATTCTGTTTTGAAGTGGTCTGAGTCATCTCGTTCTTTTGTAATGGTACCTGTCTCACTCAAGGTCTTAAAATGTTTTCAGTTTAATCCACTGAAATATGAAATGTTAAAATTAAAAATCAAAAGTTTACAAGATTTTAACTGCCTCCTATTTGCCAAATAAATGTGCATACACCGTATATAATTTATAACAATAGTAAAGCAAAGTGGTAAGTTTTGAGTAAGGTTAATTTTGGAATCAGACATTTACGAAAGGGGTGAAACACTAGGTGGTAACTAATTTTTAAAACTAGCTTTATAACTTAGAAAAAGAATAATAATTAACGTTGCAACACTTTCTAATGGATCATACCATATAACTTAATTGATAAAATGGATTAGTTATCGAATTTCTAGTTTAAAAATGAACTCCACTAAAATTAAAGCATCCCGTTCACCCTCGCGACAATAATGCTTCGACCCAACATGAATGCTTCGCTCGAATCGACTATATTATCCGAGTTCAATGATTTACTGCAGTTTCCAAACAAATTGCATAGCTACAAAATAAACATCATTAAATATTTAAACATTTCATTGAACTAATTGTAGTTTCCTTTTTTTTTCTCCGCTATCGTAAAATAAATACAGATGATTTTTCAAATAAAGCTTGATCTTCATTTTTCACTAGGCGTAAGAAACATGCATTAGTTATCGATAAGCCCACACTAAATTAACAAATATATGAAATAATAAGCTTTCTATATAATTTAAACATTCCCAAACGAAACAATGTTTCAACTTACCTATTTCAGTTTAAAATCCATGAAAAGGCACTAAATTTAAGAAGATCGTAGATAAAATTTGTCATCGCATATTGCTTTGACCGATCCGAGTTCGCCGTGGCGGGGTCGACTTGGACCTTTTTTTAGCAGGCGGCGTTGACTTGGTTCCAAGCGTTTGCGCAATGATATCGTATATGGGGCGTTCGTGGAATTAAAACAATTTTATAGTAAATTGGATGACCTTTCTGAATACATATTTTTGAGAGACGTAAAGTGATTTTTTCACATAGAAAACGCAATTTTTGTGCTAAAATCAACGTTATTTAGCATTAATTTACAGTTTACATCATATTAAAGAACTACTTTTCTACTTTCTAGATCAGTTGTTACTGAACGCACAGGTATAAGGATACATTATCGCAACGAGCTGGCGCGACCCAACCAAAAAAAAATTAATTTTTCTCCCCGCAGCGTAAATTTCGCCAGCTCATTTAGAATACCTATTTATATTGAACTTGCTTATAGGCCAAAAGTTTTTTTACAATTTTCAAAGATATGCTTTTAAAGTCATGGTCATGACAAGGATAACTTGATATCCATCACTGTATATTGATAAATTTATTCTTACACAATCTCGTAATTCATTTATTTCTTCAGAATTCTCCTTTACCCTAATATTCATAAATTTTTACGGAATGTAACTGTCTAGACATGGACATGTTTGCACTACTGTAGACATGGACATGTTTGCACTACTGAATACCTAAGGGGCTGTACATAAAATACATACACACTGAGATGTGTTAATTGAGGAGATTTTGCCTACTGTTTGAGGGAGGTGTTTCCTTTACAGAAGTTACGTAGATTTGATGATGTCTGCTACCATTATACTGAAATTCTGTCCATAAATTATATCAAACTAAAATCTTCCAAACAATTATAAACCTGTTGAAATTTATATAAAAATACCATTGTTTTGTGAAGTAAACTATTGCTTTGTGTTTTTACTAGTGAATTAGGTAGATATGACACTAGTAACAGTAATATTTAGAGCATACATACTTAATGTTCATCGTAGTCATATTTTTTTTTATGGTAGCATTTTTTAGTTGCTGCTTAAATTGAAACTGTGGTAGGGGTTTGTCCAAAAATGTATGAATGCGATTGTGGAAGGTCATTTGACTTTTTTGCTACATAACTGGAGGTCTGCACCTCTTCCATCAACTGCATTTTTTATTAGCGCTTTCCTATCATTCTCTTAATATTTAAATAATTTGAGACTTCAACATTATTCTTAGTGATAGAAATTTCACTTATCAGTATTTATAAGTTTCAGAATTAAAGCAGAAAGATGTACAATAAATTTGGCATGCATCCTTATTTATTGAACATTATGACAAAGTTATGGCACATATAAAAAAATATAATCTTAACGTTAGATATTTTTATATTTCTTTTAGATCTTTTGTGGAAAGATCCCAAAAGATGTGTTTGAGGATGAGCTAATTCCCTTGTTTGAAAAATGTGGGAACATTTGGGACATGCGCCTTATGATGGATCCAATGACCGGACTCAATAGAGGTTATGGATTTATAACCTTTTGTGACAAGGAATCTGCTATAGAAGCTGTTAACCAGGTTTGAAGTTATTAATGTTATAACGATTTTGATAAGTTTTCTTCAAAGGAATATCTCAGAAAACATTGTTTTTTTAAAGTCAATATGAACAGTTAAAAATAATGCTCTTGGTTAAAGAAAAAAATACATCAGAACAGATACGAAAAATCTTATATTTTTTCCCTTTTCAGCTTCACAATTATGAAATTAGACCAGGCAAACAATTGAAGGTTAATATTTCCATAGCCAATGTGAGATTATTTGTTGGCAACATACCAAAAAACAAGTCTAGGGAAGAGATTAAAGAAGAGTTTGGAAAACGAACAGGTAGAACAAAGTTTCGGAAAATTATATTAAATTTTTTGACAGGGCATTTTGAAATTTTGGCTTTGCACTGGGATTTTACATTACTAAAAAGGCTTTTCTAGAAAATATAATTGTTGTGCTTTTTTAATTTAAAAAAAATTGGGCTATTTTAATAAAATTTTGTGGGCCCCCCACCCCGCCTAATAATTTTTTACAATTTTTTTATTATTATGCTTTCTTTTTCTTTCTGTAATGCAGATGGACTAGTAGATGTGATTGTATATGGTTCTGCTGACAATCCTAAGCAGAAAAATAGAGGATTTGCCTTTCTTGAATATGAAACTCACAAACAAGCTTCAAATGCTAAGAGGAAATTGCAGGCAGGTCATCCTAAATTTTGGCAATGTGACGTTATTGTTGACTGGGCTGATCCAATGGAAGAACCTGATGAGGATACAATGTCTAAGGTGAGAAAATGACCAGAATTGACAGTGATTATTTAAACTAGATTAGTTATGAAATTGATTTTTTAATCTCTTTAGTCTTACACTTAACGTTTTAATATTTAAAGCACTATAATACTTACTGAAGTAGAGGACTATATTAGTTTAAAACAAATCTTTACCTAGGAACAGAAATAAATTAATACTAAATTTGTATCGTAAAAGTGGACATGGAGAAGTTTGTAACTTGCATAGGTTTTTTTAAAATACACACTTTTCTTTAGAAGACATCTTGATCTACATACCCATTCATTTCATAACAAAACTTTGCTTGTCTGCAGTAAAAATCATATTTTTATGTACCGTATGTAAAACGTCAGTCAGTCTCTATGCTAATGAAATTAAATCTTTATGAGGATCATTCATGGGTTGATATTTTTACCTAATATGGCTTTTGGTTTTCCTCTGCACATCTCAAGATGACCATGTACACGATTCCCTTATTTTGCCATGCTGGCACCATCCATTTGTTTTCTGAAAAATAGTATCGGGCCTACAGAAACAGAAATGTGTTTTATTTTGAATATCAAAGAATTTATTAAAATAATAGATTGTTACAGTATGTAAATGTTGAATCTATCAGACATTTTGAAAATAGATAGACAAGTTTGCTAAGATTTTAGAGAATTTTTTTCACTTTTAAGTTACTTCCGAATAAAATATAAATTTCCATCTATTTTTTAAAAATCAGTCGCGCAAGAGGAAGTCATTGGGATTTTTTAAAGTTATTATTTAACCCATTCAGTGCTGTGTGCTGACAGTTTATATCATTTGGAGCCCCTGCCATGGAGATAAACTCCACCTCTACTGTAGTTAAATTTAGAAAAAAAGTTATTTTCATAAAGAACTCGCTTTAAAAATTGCATTATAATTATAAAATTTCATGAAATTTTTTTAGCACACTATTTTTGATTAGTTGATCGAACAGAAAATCTTCTGCAATCCCATTTTAGTTGGCAACTTGGATTGGGAACCAGGGTATTATAACCATGCAATTTATATATTGTAATTGGATTCTTCTACATTCATCACAATATTTTTCAGTCCCAAGTCTTAAACTTCATTTCGTATTATTTAATTTCTTTTTATTTCATTTATTAAATTACAGGTTAAGGTTCTGTATGTTCGCAATTTGACATCTGATGTCAGTGAGGAGATGCTAAAAGAAAAATTTGGAGAATTTGGCAAGGTTGAGAGGGTTAAAAAAATAAAGGATTATGGCTTTGTCCACTATGAGGAGAGAGATGATGCTCTAAAAGCAATGGATGCTCTAAATGGTCAGAAAATTGGAAGTTTAGAGGTTGACATTTCTCTAGCTAAGCCCCCTTCTGAAAACAAAAAGAAAGAGCAACGCAAGCGTGATCAGGAACGACGCATGATGAGGGCCCACTATTTTGGCTTTGATGAATATTGGGCACCACCAGTGCGAGGTAGTCATCCCTCGGCCAGGGCAGGGTTAAGGCGTCCACCATATCCAGGTAGAACAACTTTTTTCTTTTGATTCATTCAGTCCCAAGATAATTCTCTCTCACACACAATCTTTCTGAAGCAGACTTCTTTATACTATATATGGAGTATGATATATTGAGTTTTAAGTGAATTTGTTAGTCACCTTGACATATATATGTTATCATTTTATTCTAATTTGATATAATTTTAGAGCCCTACTATGATGATTATTATGGCTATGATGACTTTGAATACTATGGCTACCCACCAGTTCCCCCAATGAGAGGTGGTCGTGGTCGAGGAGGCATGCCCCCTGTAAGTACTTAAATAAGAATTTACCAAGTAAGACTCTTACGTGTAAGCGTGACTTATGCCAAATGAGAACAAAGTTATTGCTCTTTTGTCTAACATACTTTTTTCTTAATTTGTAAAAAAAAATACAATGTCACGCTCACATGTCAACTGAGAATTAAAGCTACACTCAACCAGAACATTATTTAACATTACCTAAAGGTTATCCTAATATTTATGTTACGAGATTTAAAATTTTGAGGTAGCTATATTTCAAAGTTGAGTCTTGCTTGGCTTTCATGGAAGCACACAGTTTCTCTAAACTGTTTGACTCCATAATGAGGGGGGAGGGTATCATTGAAAATGTGTAAGTTATTCTTTTAAATTTCAAAACTTTTGGACCTATCACTTTTGGTTTCAACATAAAATGTTCATAATTGACTTTCATTTAAGTTAATTTGAGCAATTTTTAACTTTTGAAAATTATATATATAAAATGCAAAAAATTGAAATGATGAATTGGAAGAATCAACACATTTCCGGTGTTACCCATACTCCCCCTCAACCTTTTCTGTAGCATCCTGATCATGCTAATAATTAGGGCAAAAAATGTCTCAAAATTGTCTTTTTCCGTTTCATGGTAGCCGCCTATCAGAGGCCGTGGTGGGGGCCCACCGCGTGGCCACGCAACAGGAGGTCAGGCAATCCGAGGGGCGGCCGCTAAAGGCCGTGGAACTGGACCTGCCCGGGGGGCCTCGCGTGGGGGACGCGGGGCTAGCAACGGAAACAGCCCGTCGGCAGGGACATCACCAGTCGCGGCCAGGGGAGGAAAACGGAAAGCAGGCACAGACTTCCAAACTGGAAGTACGAAGCGACGGAATACAGACAGTTGGGGCAGTCAGCCTATAGCGCAGCAACCCCTCAAGCAAGATATGAAGCAAGACATGTATGGGGCCATGAGCTATGATGGAAATGATGACGCTTGGTATGAAGATTCATATGGGCAGAATTGGGGTTGACAGCTTAGTCTAACTTTAAAATGTGATAAATCTTAAATCCTGCCCAATATTGTAAAATTAAATTGTAACCAAAAGATGGCTAAATATTGGGCTGAAATTAAACAGCCTGGTAATTTATGACCCATGTCATAGTGAAACAAAAGGGGGTTCAATGGCTTATGTCTTTGGCCCAGTTAAAAAGGCTTCGAAATTAATGCTGGGCAACAGTAGTTGTTAAATATTTGTATATCTCATCTTCTCCTGGCCTACGTCTTGTACATATTTTTTGATCTTATAGCATATCCCCCCAAAGAATTTTCTTTTTCGGCAAAGTCTGAATTAAAAATTTATTCGGTCTCCTATATATAATTATCTCATCATAACCTCAGGCTTTATAAGCACCAGGCATGAATGGATAATGCCTTGATTCTGCGCCGTGCTGTTTTGGGCACACGGGTTCCGTTCTACGGCAGCTTATGCAATAAATCAGGACCACTAATTGGATCCTGCAATGCATGCCGCAACATTTGCATACAGTAATAGACCTTAGCAGTGAATAACATGCACTAGCTTATACTAGATGCTCTGTTATTTAGGCAAAAGAGTCTCCATTTGCACTCATTGTATAGGGATAGGAAGCGTACATTCAGAACTCTTAAATTTTAAAAAACAAATTTGAGTTTGTGAACATTCGTAAGAATCTTTAATCCAGAATGCCGAAAAATAGTTTTTAAAAGTGTATCAGTATTTTAATATTTTATCGTTTTGGTGTTTTGTAATGAAATTTGTGTAAATTGTCATGTAGTGAAATGACAAGTTCATTTTAAATTTGCTTTCAAATTAATGGCAAGCATTTCAAAAGGTTAGTGGAAGTTGTAAGAAAAAAAACAACAAAGTAGGTACACTGAAACTTGTTTTTATCTGGACCCTTCAGCTACCACAAAGAGATGGTAGAGTTTGTTTAGCATTCCACTAACCCGACTTTTCTCATAGTTTCATTATCATCAAATTCTTCTCGCCATTGTCATGTGTTCATGCATTAAATTGCATTTTATGTAATATTTGTTTTGTTGGTTTTTTTGTTATTTTTAAATTTGAGTGATTGATAATTACCTGAATGAATACCAGTTTAGAACAACTTCTCACTTCACCCAAACTGATTTGAGGGCTGCAAACTGCAATGTAATTTGGATACTGAACTATATCTACATTGTCTGCTCTTATTTTATTATGGATGCTCAAAAAAAGGTGTTTAGTGGCTTACACTTTTTACAGGGCGTGACATAAAATACCAAAGACAGTACTAAGGTATAATAGACAGTTCTGAAGGAAAATAATGTATATGGGCTCATTTGTAGTTGTAGTACCAGATATTCAGATAGTTTCCAAGATGCAATAGAAATAATTAAAGCAGTGTTTGTCAAACTTATCTTGGTGACACACTTTTTAGAAATTTATTATCTCACTGTGCAAGAGATCTGTTTAACCAGCATATAGAGAAGTCCCATGGGCACCGCAACCCCTCAGATATTTTAAGGGCATTAAGTTTTGATGTGAACAAATTATTACGGTATCCAATGCATGGGGGCACAAATCCGAAAAGTGAAATTGGCCTTCAAAAGTTGTGCATTGGCTCCCAGTTAAACTTTGACCAATTTTAAAATATATGGTAACAGCTCATGAAATCTTTCTTCTTAAAAAAATTATTAGTTTAATTACCTACAGGTACATAAATTTTGTACATATTAATAAAATTAATAATTATTAATATGAATACTGGTACTACAATGTGTAGAATTTAAAATGGAAAAATAAAACTTAAAAATACTAGATACCGGTACTGGGGTACCTTAAGTTTGCAAAGTCCTGGAATCGATAGATTCATCTAAATTTTCAATGTTAGCGAGTTGTCCTCTTCAGTGGTTCCCAAACGTTTGATGGACCGGTGAACAAGTTTAGAAATTTTACCAGGGACCAGTGCATGATTTATTTTTATACTTTTATTTCTATTTGACAATAAATATTTATGTTATGGGGGTCAGCGTTAGGCATGCGGACCGGTGAAGATCCATGGACCGCCATTTGGGGACCATTGGTCCTCTTTACTTCAAAATATCCTTTATATGTACCGGTAGTTTAAGTTTTATCAGGTGGCCTTCTCATTCAGTGAATGAGAATGCATCTTCCAATTGTTTTTCTGACAATTTATAGGATTTTAATAAATTCTTTGTGGAATTCCAACCATAACATTAATATTTTCCTTTTTAACAAGCCAAGATTCTTTTGTTAAGGTGGATTTGGTGATAATGTGTGGATCCTCATTTTTAAATTTTTAGCATTTTTTTAATTAAGCAGTTAAGTTTACTAAGTAAGTACTGGTAGCCTATTTCCGATGCTTTCATGCTTAGCTTAACTTTCTGAATTTGAAAGCTCATTGAACAAGTATTTACCGAATCATTACCAGTTTTTGTGACAAAATACTGGAGTAAAATTATTACTTTATTTTGTTATATATTTCTTCTGCAATAATTTTGCCGCAAACTAAACACTGGGGACACGACTACAAAATGTGAATCATTGTTCAAAAATAATACTTTTAATAAATACCGGGTACATTAACGATCCATGGAAACTTCGGTTTTAGAGTTATTTCCAATCACAATACCTTGCTACAGTTTATGCTAATGTAATATTGTCCCCAATACTACAACCACAGTTTGTTCATCTCAAACTTTGCATCATTAATTGTGTCGGATAAATCCCTCTAGAAAAGCCAGGGGAAAGTGATGCTAGATGACTAGATAACAAATTTAAATTTGAGACGATGCCAAACAAAACACATGAAGACTGAACAAATAAAAATAAAACATTCAATTTTTAAGTGCCGTACAAAATGTGCAGTTCAGTTACAGCGTGTGCCTTGCAAATAAAATGAATTTGGTTAAGAAAATAACCCGGCAACTGTTGTTTTTATCTGAGAAAAAGAGGATACGGTACGGTGTATTTGTAACTTTGCATGATGCATATGTCTGATCGGCTCATTTGATGTTTAGAAATTGTGTGAATGTCATTATGACTTATATGACACGCCCTGCAAGTGACACAGTTTGGAAAGCATTGAATCAGTAGATACCGTATTTAAATTTCATTAAGTTTAAGCACCGGTTCCACTAAAGAGCCAGTACTTTGTCAAATTGAAAGTTTTTTTTTTTAACCGGTACTCGATTCAAAGTGCTTAATTAAAATTAATAAAATTAGGGGCCATCCGTGTGTATTAGTATTACCAATACTATTAGTATTACCGGTACTGGGGTGGGCGAATTTATAAGTAAGTACCGTACCGGTATGAGGAGATTTAGATTTAGCAAACATACGGGTCTGGGCATTATGATGATTGTCTATCCACAAATTATGCTACAACTACAATAATTATTAAATTCGGTCACACCTTAAACTTAAATAAGTATTTGAAATAACGTACTTAAACTAATAATCTGACATTCACATTTCCTATTTATTTTCTAAGGCCACAATTGTCATAAATTAAAATTAAATAAAAATACCAGTACCAGTGGACAATCTCCTCCTCATACCCATACCATAGTACTAGTACTAGTCATGCTGTTTTTCAATTTTACAAATGATTCCCCAAGGACCATTAGTTCTCTGTAGGCATTTGGATGGTTTCAAGTGTAATAACCTATTTAGTGTGACTGGCTAAAAAAATACCGTGCCGTAATAACTAAAATTATAACTTAATCATACCGGGTACGGTGTTTTTTGGGTTTTTTTTTAAGGGAAAAGGGGGGGGGGGGTGTGAAAAGCTAATTTCACTATTGACTACTTTGTAACAACTTGTAATACCCGGTACCTAGTAATATATGTGAGTACCTGTATATGAATATGACATATTAATGTGGATGCCCTCCCCCCCAACTCAGTACCGGTAATGAAGATAACAGGTAATAAAGTTAAATTAACTAATTTAATTTTTAAAAAAAATTAGAGCATCTTTTATTAAAAATCAGCGCCTATTTGTAAACAGGAACTGAATCTCCACAACTGCCATTACTAATCTGACTAGGCTTATCATTTTGAATTTTTATCACTAACTTCAACTTCAATCAAAGTACCGGTAAATTGCAAATAAAACCAGAGGGCGGAAAATGCTTTCAAAATTTGACTTTCATGTAGGCTACATACTACATGTAATGAATTTCTTTCTTGTATTATAATCTTAGTTACGGTACCGGTAATTCAAAAATGTTTTGTCTTTTTAATACCCACCGGGGTACCCGCTGCAGACACGTTTTTTGAGGAAATGTAAGAGCGTGATGGGGGAAACGCTGGTTGTAAAATAACTATTGGTATACTGTTGTATTCGTATGCTTTATTGCTACAACTTGTAATTGTAAGTTTTACTCATTTGAAATGGTGTAGCTAATTAATAAAAATTGGATTTGTATTATTAAACATTAACATGTTAAATTCGTTTTTTGTAGTTTTTTTTTTTCTGCTTTGAAATCGAAAATATAGTTTTAGTAGAATGCCATCGTGTACTATACTCTACCGGTAATTATAATACGAACACAGGGTAACATGTGCAAGACCAACACGTGTTAGCGATCTAATATAATTATGAGATGCACTATACTAAACTAAAGCGCTCATACAATGAAAGTGAAAAGAGGTTATGCCTATACTTATACCGGTACATTAAAAAAAAAACAACAACCGGTAATAAAAAAAAAGCACACTTTTTCTTCGCACCGGCATACCCCGGTATGGGGGCCATCCATAAATGACGTCATGCGTCTGGGGGGGGGGGAGGCTGTCAGATTTTTGTGACGAGGGAGGGGGGGGGGGGCCTCATGCAATGTGATGTCACATGAAAACCGGATTATTGCAGAAAAGAATAACACTTAATAATCCTAAATTACAGGCATTTTTAATATGATTCTTTTATACTATTATAGTTATTTTATTTTTTAACTACGATCACTGACAGAATCATGACAGTTACTGGTATGTGAGGTCCGAAAAATGGCCTCTGATCAAGTTACAGTTCAGTACCGTACGCAAAGGAGGAGAATCGGGGTGTAGGTACAATGACAGTCGTGAGAATTTATGGCTAAATGTGGAAACCGGAGTCATGGTATTAGTAGAATGCCATCGTAAAGTGGAACGAAAAAAAAAAAAATTGTTGATTGGGGAGATGGGGGTGTGTGTGTGTGTAAATCTGGGGAGATGGGGGTGTGTGTGTGTAAATCTTAGTAGATTCTGTAGGACAGGGATTCTTAACCTTTTAAGCACGCCCACTCCGTTTAAAAAAAAAAAAAAATTGTTGGTTGGGGAGATGGGGGTGTGTGTGTGTGTAAATCTGGGGAGATGGGGGTGTGTGTGTGTAAATCTTAGTAGATTCTGTAGGACAGGGATTCTTAACCTTTTAAGCACGCCCACTCCGTTTAAACCCCCCGCCCCCCCCCCCAACTGTATAAATTATTTTGTAATACAATTAAAAATAATTTAGTTAAACTGTTATCGTAGTTTTATTTCTTTAATTCACTTTTTATTTTAAAAAAGGGAAACAATTATCAATTCACGTGCAAGCAATGCGGAAACCAGAATTCACAAGAAAAACATCTACTGCTGCTAATCAAATTGCATAAAAACTTCTTTGAAAAAAAAAAGAAAAAGCAGCAACAACTATCAGAGGCGTAGCGTGGTGGGGGCAGGGGGGAACAGATGTCCCCGGGCGCCAGCTAGTTAGGGGCGCCAAAATGTGCTTTGATATTATTTTATTGATGAAAATAATGGGTTTTAGAGTTGAAAAAAAGAAAAAGGGCGCTGAAAATGGATCTTGTCCCCGGGCGCCAAACACCCTCGCTACGCCACTGACAACTATCAATGGCAGCAAATGCAAATCAATGGCGTAGCTGGGGTTTGTGTAATCCGGTCCGGTAATCTCGTGGTGTTGTCGTCCCCCCCCCCCACCATCCTCTACTTCTACGATGTAATTCTTCGTGCTAAACTTAGTCCACAGTATAACAAATACAAGAACAAAAACAAATTAATTGCAGGTCAGGAGGTAAATGTATTTTAAGAACGGTGACATTAGTTAGAATCGCCCATTGATATCAAAGGATAGTTTTATCTCTCAGAATTTAAATAAATATATCTTGCTTCCTGAACACTTCATTCGGCGTTGAATCGTGGTCAAAACGGTGTATTTCTGACCTAAAATAAGGTAACCTAATTGCTAACGCATCAACCTTGAAATTTTAATGAAACACGCATTTTGATTGGTTACATGATATTACATGGGTGGAAAATGTACGTGTCATCTGTTATCCTTTTATGAATTTTGGTTAGACCGAGCAGTGTATGCTCTGTAAATACGCACATTTTCCATTTATTGTCACTCCCTGATATGGTGTCACCCGGTGTGGTCCGAACCCCCTAGCTACACCACTGAATGCAATGTTCTGGTCTTCCATACCTCAGGGCTGGAGAGGTACTTTTACCCCTGGTTAAGAACCAGATGTCTTTGCGATTTGCAAAGAAAACTGATTCTTTTTATGTTGTCATTTCTCATAGTCATGTGTCTGCACTGTAACAAATCTGATGCTTTAGTTTTAGTATAAGGGGGACATTTATTTCATACTTTTCAGTACCGGTCCGGTAAATTTTTTAAAAACACTTTTCATTACCGGTACGGTACATTTTTTATAAAGCATTTTTATCTATTGTTTTATTTTGTACCGGTACTGGTGTAGTCTTTGAAAAAATGTTATAGCTGATCAAGAAGTGGGTTGAAACATGTGACTAAAAAGATACGTGACTCCCCCATGAAATACAAACACCTGCAACCTCTGTGGTTGACCTTTGACCTTGAAACTTTTTTTTTTTTTTTTTTTTGGTCACTTTTGATTGTTATTGGGAACGGGTACCATGCGTACGGAAACGCTGTAACGGTGGTAGTGAAAACCCGATGTCCCTATCACTCCCTGCCCGTTCCTCGGATACCCTCAGAGGTCACTCAAGGGTCATCGGAGGTCACTNGGGGGGGGGGGGGGGGGGGGGGTTGCGGATTATTGTAATAAAGAATCAGATCAACTGGAGATCAAGAAGTGGGTTAAAATAATGTGATGCGAGATTTGATCCGCAGAGGTCACTCAAGGGTCCGTGGAGGTCACCGGTGACATACTAATAGGGTTACAAATACAATTAATTACAATGCAAGACACCATTGATTTGAGACCTCTTGGAACTTAATAAATGCTACTATAGGCACAAGAAAGCGATTGTAAAGCTATCTTTGTCAGGAGAATTGAACTAAACTTTGTACAGCACCTAAAAACATGATCAGATTTAGGCATTTTAGTAATGCCTCAATTAGAAGAGCAAATTGACATTAGGCCTACATTTTTTATTATGGATCAATCTTGACGAAGTCGAAATCGCGGTCAAGGATAACACTTCAAGATGACTTGATGAATGGATTTTGTAAAACAAGATCGGGATGCTGTTTGCCAAAGTTATAAGCTGAGATAATACTTAATAATAGGAAAGACATTACACAGTCCACCATGACAAATTCACAAATTAAAGCTACGATTAAATGGGGCAACTGCCAACACCTATATGACGAAGGTTTGCCACGAAAGAAAAGTTCACAGACAATCATTTTTGAAGCAAACTGGTGTTATTATTTTCCCCCAAACTTTGATTACAATGAAATATTATGATCAAAGAGTAAATATAGATAAGAAAATGACTTATTCATATTTGTTTGTATTTATAAATTCTACATGCATTATGCTGTCTTTCACTTTAAAAGAGCAAAGTCATCCCATTTTCCTTGGGTTATATAATCTTAAAAAACCTTAATTATCAAACTTAACCAACTATGACTTAATTCAACCATAACAAAAAAGTGCAGGTATCCACTCTGTACATTAGCACCTTTGTGTTAGTTTTATTTTTAGATAAATTAACATGTTGAAAATTATTCATAAAGGCAAAATGTAGGCAAAGTCACGACCCTTTGACAAGGCATAGTTAGTTTTTTTTAAAATGGAAAAATAGACCTGTCTTAATTTGCACACATCCCCCCACCCCATAAAACCTAATTCTAAAGAAAAAAATAGTTTAGATCGAGTTCTAATTCAAAATTATTGTATACGGTACTGAAAATGATTTCAATCAATGTGGATTACCTGTAATATTTTTACCGTGATTGAGCCATCGGTCCATTTGATGATTGGGGCAGTTGGTGAAGTTTTGAACAGTTTAGGAGGCACTATTTCAGCTAAAATAATATTAAGTGGTATCAAAGCCTAGGCGAGTTCCTTGCCCAGGGGGGTGAAGGTCTTCAAAAGTTTGAGAACCACTGTTTTAAGCGTTTGAGTGAAAAGGTGAAAGTAATTTGTGGTGTATCTGTATGTATATTTAATTTGAACACTACATGAAAGCTCCACAAAATACCAATACTATTAATTATATAACCTTTTTATTTCTATGACTTGGGTTTTGTGGTCGCCACAACATCAAAACAACACTTGCAGTGGCCGCCAAGATGCTTATATATTCCGCTCCGTCAACACTGAATTCCTGGGCAACGCCTGCTAAGAAAGGAGCCAACATTCTAGCCACCGCCATAACAGATTGGCTCAGGCCCATCACAGAACCTACTGAAGAGCTTCCGCACCTGCTTATTGTTAGAGTGGTTGAGCTCACGCGAGACACGCAGGTGACCAGGCTCAGGGGTGTGAGAAAAACAACAAGTTGTATTACTGAGGTAGACATAGTCAAGCACATCAGTGTGAGCACTTGGAGAGTAGTCACTGTTAAAAACAACTGTGCTTGGTTACTAAATCTGTGGGGAAAATTATGATATGGAAGTGATTAGATAGAATAAGTTTTAAGTTTAAGTACCCGTAGTAAAAATGAAGTTGCAAACTTTTTGTTTTCTAAAAGGACCAAATTCTTTAAAAAATTTAAGAGTTAAAGTATCACTACTTTACTAGTAAGTACAGTAGATAAATTTTTAAAAAAGAACTAAACTAATAATTACTACGGCACTAATTTTACTGTAGGGTACCATCTACCAGTAATACAGTATGTAATGAGTGCTATACCAGGAGTACTATAATAGTAATAGTTATTTGTTACATTTTGAAGTACCAGTAACTAACTAATAATAACCACTGACTAACCTTTTCGTAATATATCCAAGCACAAAGCCGGATAATGTTGCCACTACACCACTGTATGATGTCATATAGCCCACTGTTTTTGGGCTGGCATCAAATTTTTCTTTCAGAACCAGTGTGAAGTTGGTACGATAGATTATTACTGAGAAACCTAAGATTAAAAAAAACAAGTAAAAATATGTACTGGCATCTATTTTCCTCATACATTCACAACTGCTAATCTCATGAGCACCAAGTTTTTAAGTACTTTAAAATTTCAATAAGCTGAATTTTGAAAATACTAAAACAACTTCAAAAAGCAATCCCTGGATTCTAAAATTGCAAACTTTATTTTTTTTATTGAGGGGAGAGGGCGGAAAAAAGGAACAACACTAGGCTTTTTTGAAACAAGTATTAAGTCAACCGAGTTCGGCATAAGGAACAACATAAGTTACAAAATACACAGGTACAGATGATTGAGTACGAAAATAAATAATTTATGTGCCTAATCCATAGAACTAGTACTGTAATATTAACCTGCTAAAAATTTTATAAGAAACAAGTCCCAGAGCTCCGTCCAGTCAAATTCTTTGAATGATTTAAAAAATCTTTTGAAGCTGAAGTCAAAATCAGAATTAATGAGAATATGACTGTCTTCTATCACATCTAGCTTATTTTGATGATCCAAATCTAGATCTGTGTCCTTGGGTATTGACCACCAAATTATTCCTGCAAACAAAAAAAAAATTAATAAAAAAAAATTACAACTAAATTCCACTTCCTTAGCTATCAGTAGTGTCAGAAGCAAACATTTATTTAGCCTGATACAGGCGTTAAAATGGTGATTAATTACGAAAACTCCGCCAGAGAAATATATTTTAAGAGGATACACGGCTTCCACCTTCTTACTACATTTACAGTACTGATATTATTTATTCAGCCCCCGATCATGCACATTTTAAAACGCATTGCTATGCGTAAGACAATTTGGGCACGGTAAAAGCCTTTTATGTACAAACTGCTACGGCCATGTGAACTTCAAAGTTATTAATTACCGGTAAAATTTTATATGGTACAGTCCTTGATGGTAATATTTCAAATTAATTCTTAATTAGGGTGTGTTAAAAATTGTACAAACGTAAGACAGAATACGGTATGAAAAATAAATTAATTTGCATGAATTGATGGGGTTTTTTCCACTCTGTTAACATTCATCTAGGTCAGAGGTTGGGAACCTTTTCATGGCAAAGAGGCAATTTTTAATTTTGTAATCTAATAACTAATAGTATCCATAAGCTACATGAGAAAGCCATAAGCTACATGAGAAAGATTAAAGAGCAGCATGCAGCTCCCCAACCCCTGAGGCAATTTCGAACTCAAATTAATGTTTTTAAAATTAGAAAATTTTAGATAAAAAGAAATTAAAACTTTGTGACATTACAAATATTTGACCCCCCACAAACTGTCACAAATTTTTTAAACACCCCCCCCCCGCCAGCGTGACAGACTTTGCGTGACCTCTAATTTAACATTTTTCTATTATTGCATCTAAAAAAAAAAAATCACAAAAATTACATCTTAATCATTCATTTCCTGCCTTTAGTTAGTGGGTAAGAAATAGATTTATGACTTCTAGGCTAAGGAAATATATTTTAGAACTTACTTGACCAAATTGGCATCAGGTTTCTTACACACATTTCTTAATTAATAGCTGTCATTATCCAGTACCCAGAATTATGATTGGCCTTTTCAGCCTTTTACTTCTAACACTGGAGGAAACCCCACCCCCCTCTCTCTGTACAGTTCACTTAATGAGAGCCTACCTGTATTTAGAATAAATGAGGAGCTGGCAACTAAAGCTACGAGCATAAAGCCACCGCTACTTTCTGCCAAGTGTCCTCCAACTATAGGTCCAATTACAAAGCCTATGCTGGAGAATGAATTAAAGTTCCCAAGTACAGCAGACAATCTGTCATTAGCCACAATATCAGCTATCAGAGCTTTGCTAATAGTTTGGCTGTGCTTGAAACAACCTAAAATATCAGGGGACGGGAGCACAATATTACTATTTAGAAACAAAAAAATACAGTTACTGGTACTTCAGTTGAAATTCAAGAGTTACTTTTACAAGTAACAACAGCAGAAGCTTTGAATTGTATATAAGCCACTGGTGTTGGTGTTTAATTTTATAAAATTAATTTTAAAAAAACAAAACAAAGCAAATTCTTTTAAGTAACAACCACAATTTAAAGTTTTAGATCACCTGGTATTAAAAGTTTGCACTACAACTTTTCAATCATGTCATTCTATTACTGGTATCAGGTTTCTGAGTTAGTGTAATGAGATGGAGAAATAATTAAGACACAGGTCCTCAGTTCTTGAAAAAATAAGCTGGGTTTAGAAATATCCCCAACACTTTCAACACAATTTGTTACCTTTAACCTTGTGTTTGGGAACGTTTTTTTTTTCAAAGTTATCCTCTCTAACCTTCAGTTATTATTATTTTAACCCAATTACCATGACACTGATTAGTTGGGAGGCCATTAAGAGTTAAAATTATTGTCTTTTTATTAGCAATGTTTATTTGTGATAGTGACTCTAGACCTTTGGTGTACTAATACTAATACTACTATACTGGTACATTGCTCACTATTGCTATTGGTCCATTTGTAAATTGTGACTAAATTTAATTTTTTTTAATGCCAAGAAATATAGTTGATATGGGTCTCATTTTTAAAATATGAGAATGAATTGAATAAATACATTTTAAATAAATATTTCTTTGTTGTAAAATGAGTACAGTAAAGTATGATTAAATAAGTAGAGCATCAACCTGAAACAAAGCGTCCCAAAAACAGAACTGCCAGTGATGAATAAATTCCAAGGCTTGCATATCCAAGACTTGATATAAATAAACAGACCATCAAACTGAATCGTCGACTCACATGATCGCTCCATTTGCCCTAAAAAAGATGAAGTTATTAAAGTGTACATGTACTTAAAGAATACTTTAATGTAATTTGTTAAAATACTGTACATCTGTATTTCATTTATTAAAATATATTTGAATACCAGTACCGGTACTGTACAATGATCTTTTATAGTTTTTAAAAACTTTAGAGATGCTCAATTTGGATCCTCATACCGGTACTCATATTGAACTAGAGTGCCATTTTGAAAGACAGAAACCTTTTCTTCTAATCAAACCAATCAATTGACACAAATCATTAAGCTTTGGAATATTGGTCTATCAAAATGTTAATAATGGGTTAATTTTTTTCAGCAGGGCTAAGAAAAAAGAAGACTTACAACTACACAACATGAGAGTTTGAGCCAAAATGACACATGTATGTCATTATATTAGTGCTACATGGGCTATAGCGACACAGAGATGGATGGATTTATCACATAAATTGTCTACTAAATTTGACACAAACTACCTGTAATTTAGAATTTTGTGCCATTTTCTAATAGTACAGGTAAAGCATAAGGGACGCCTAGTACTGTACATGATGTAGTACATGCTGGGGAAAATTAACATAAGCTTAGTATTACTAACTTAGTAATGTAACCACCACATGATGCATGATTAATACATTTTAAGTACTGGTACTCATAATAGGTAGAAACTAACAAGGTAAGCTGCTGTTGATTTACCTTACAAACACACCAGCTGTTCCATTTGCTATACCCATGAACAAAACCAGTGGTGAATCCAGGGAAAATGTCATACAATTACATTGTGTCCCTGCCCAATACATACACCCACCCACACCATTAGAATGTTAAGTAAGGCTGGGTGGGAGCAGATTTTTTCTGTGCCATTTAGTACCCTAGTTTTAATTAAGTAACATCCAGAACACATCCTTGCCCCATGTAAGGTACATCTCTGAACAAGAGTGAAAAATGATGGTGAATAAAAATTGATAGACTCAAAACAGCTTTATATGGGATCCTTTTTTTTTTTGTCTGGTAAAGAAATATGGTACTATTAAATATGATGCAGAGAAATTTTATCTGATGCTTGTTGTATTGTAGGTGATTTTTAAAATTAAATTTACATTCACGTCAGCAATGGTAATTTTATACATAAAATAGCAAAATGAAGACAAAGTAAAACTATGATAATTTGTAGGGTAACAAAATATTGATCATACTTTATGATAAGACTTTTAAGTTTAAATGATTTATGAGAGGAAAGGATTTAGAAAACAAATAAAGATATAAAAAGTAACCTTTTCTTGATCAAATTTAATTATGGCACCTACAGTCAGGGTATTGGAGCAGGCAATTTAGGAGTTCTCCACCCTGGCTCTGCTCTGGGGCATTTTTTCTGGAGTTTCATCTCCCCATATTTACTGGGTAAGGAAAGGGGTGACTTTAGAGGATGTGATGGAGATTGAGATGTTACAAGGAAGGTAGGGGTAATAAGTCTTCCAATCTTTGCTTCAACTCGTTCACTGACCCTCACTTTCCTGTCTATCTCTCTGATCTGTTGCTTCCTTACATCCCCACAAGACAACTACGTTCTTCCATTGACAGTAGAACCCTCTCAATCCCAAGAACCAAAACTAAGACCATCGGTGAACGCTCCTTCTGCTTCCATGGGCCCACGTTCTGGAACCAGCTCCCCTTCCATATACGTCATAGTGAAACCTCGTCCATTTTCAAAAAGTCCCTTAAAACTCATCTGTTTAGGTCCGCCTATGACCTGTGATGCACCCTCCTTGCCCTACCTCATTTTCTGTTTCGGGTTGATCCTGAAGTGTCAAAGTGTCCTCGTTTTATAGCCATTTTCATTGTTTCTATAGAATAGTAGTTACTATCCTAGTGTCTCATTTGTATTTACTTAGTTTACATGTTTTAATAATTGTAAAGCGCTTAGAGCTTTATGATAAGCGCTATATAAAAATGCCTAAATAAATAAATAAATAAATAAGTACCAGTGACATAGGAAGAGGAGGGTGGAGGGGGCCGTCCGCCACAAGGTGCCATTTTTTCTTTATATGGAGGGGAGGGCATTTGCCACAAACAGATGTATTTTTTTGTGGAATAGGTCAGCAAAAATCTTGGCCAACCCAGGGCATAATAAGAAAGCATAAATACAAGCCATTTTGTAAAGAAATCACAAAGTAATATTATTATTAATCAGGCAAGACAATACATATTAGAGCTTGGATTTTTAATGCTCAACTTTTAGGAGAGAAAAAAAAAAAAAAAAAAACAACAATATTTTAAAACTAAAAAAAAAATTTTCATGTATAAATTAAATCTTAATTTGGCTGCCTTTTAAATTTTAAAATTTGCTGGAGCTTGGAACAGCACCCAAAATATTGAACTCAAAGGAAAAAAGCCCCAGGTATTAATAGAAAAGGTGTGTTCTTGGTATTAATTTTAACTTACTATGACAGGACTGCTCAAAAGCTGTATACCACCATATACTGAGCCTGTGTGTTAACAATGAAATCAAAGAAAGATAATTAATATAAAATTTGATATAACATGCAGGACTATGTAACCCAACATTCCTAAGTATTTCCTGAGCTATTTGTCATTTAGAGCTAAATACTCTTAGTTATTTTTAGCATTAAATTAAGCAAAAAACCTTAAGACACTTTGAATTTTTGCAGTGTTTTTTTACAACAGGTAATTTACAATGTACCCTTTGAAATTTGTAATAATGAAAGTAGACTTAAAAAGTTTTTTAAATTTAACTGTGATAGATTTGTAATTAGCAGAAATTTAAAGGAACCTAACACTACCCATACATAATAATTGTATTGAAAAATCAAATCATTTTACATTTCAATAACCAAGTTTGGGAGATGAAACTTAAGACAGGTGTTATATTAGCCAGATTTTTATTTTTTTTTGAGATAAAATAATCTCTGGTATCTGGCTTACCGGTATTATTGCTTTTCTTGATAGCCTCAAAATCAGCATTTCTCAACCTCATCTGCATTCTAAACCCCACTTACAATTTTTTTGACTAAGTTTCCCATCTACTACAAAATTAGCAAAGCATTTTAAAAGAAAAAAAAAAAGGGACACATAACATTTATTTTGAATTAAAAAGATAACTGTAGAACTTATATAAAGTTAATAAAGTAAACTTGTAAATTATTACATAAAGTCATTAAGTAATATGTCAATAAAAATATAATTTAAAAAAATATTTATATCATAGATTAAGAGTCAGCAGCTTCTCTTTGTTCGAGGTTGGAAAACCCTGCTTTAATTTTTAAACAAACAATACATTTTATACTCATTTGTCACTGTCATAATCTGAAATTTTTTGGAAATATTTCAGGGGAATAAATGTGGAGTTCAGCTTATGAGCAAGGCATAGGAGATTTTTATAATTTTCTCCCAGACCATTGATTCTATTATAGAAAACAGTGTAAAAAAAATTAATGAACGAATGTCAACATAAAGTTAAAGTCATGTCCAAATTGGGTCACACGTTTTGTCCTCACAATGTGACTTTCGTGATTGGCTGTACTTAGAGACCTTAGAGAGTATCAAAGTGCATACGTTGAATAATTAAATTAAAGAGATGTGCAGTTAGGCAAACTTTTTATTTTAAATGTATAGTATAGCAGAATATATGCCAAATGCCAGTGTAAAGACAAGGCAACAGCACATTTCTTTCAACATGAAAATTTCTGTAAGGTTATCAGGTAAAGTATCTACTCGTAGACACAGGAAGGGAGTAAATGTGTTATGTATAATACAGTATATTTATTTATTTTTAATTCTTTTACTTACACAATCATTATTTCTCAAAGTTTGGATTTAAATGAAAAATATTTTCTTCATATTGTATTATTTGTATTGATTCAAATGGCAAATTTTTTTAAGGGTCAGCTTATGGGGCGGGATTCACACTTTTCAGGCTTTTCCCCACTAAATCAAAGGGTGTCCACTTTTTAATGAACAGATTTTAGATCAGATATTATACTCATGGATGGATTGATAGATCAAATTTAAACACTTGCCCAAAATTCCTGCAAAAGTAGATGAAGCTCCCAATTCTCTAGCCTGGGGTAGAATTAGTGGCACAACCATACTGACACCAAAGAAATCCTTAGGGGAAAGAAAATAAAATTCATTGAGGCTGCAGTTGTCTAACTCACAACTTACAATTCAAGCAGAAACATTTATCATTAAACATTTAAGAGGGGAAATCAAAATTTTGAAAATTTTTTGAAAATAACTGTAAAATAGCCATTAATGACAAAAAAATAAATTCATATCATTAATTATAGTTCTAGTGAAATGTTTTTGACACAGGTGGAATAATTTGATATCCTTGAGAGGTGAAGTTCGTAAGGGTTTGTAAAGTACAGTATAACTGAGTAGAGGACAGAGGGTGGGGGGGGGGGGGAGAGTGCAGAGATTTGTGATGTTACATTAGAGGGGGAGCCTAACGTTTTGTGACGCTGGGGGAGGGGGTGTGTAAAGGATCAGCAAATTTTGCATGACGTCATTTATTATGATTTTATGGATGGCCCCTTAGGCCATCAAACAAAAGACTTTAAAAGAGTGAATGTGAAAACTTCTAAAAGTTTAGGCTTGCTTCGATTTTTATTTAACTGTCCATTTTCAATGTCAATATTCATATTCATAATGACATAAATAAAATATGAAAATAAAATAATGTCAGAATTTCACTCATAAGTATTACTGGTAGCTCTGTTTGAGTTATTGAAATTGAGTCACATAATCATGTGGCAGTGAGTGACATGTATTTCATTTTAAAATGATGAGCATGGACATAGTCTATGCTGCTATGACTATGGTCATGGCCATGGTGCAGGAGTGCAGGCTAGAACAGACTAGTGACTAGAAATTAGAAGAATTGTCATTGTTGACAACTTAAAATTCATTCAATGACGACCGTAGTCATGTGACAAAGAATTAAAGATGTATAACTTATAACGGTATGAATGATCATCGTGAATGATGACAATGATGTACATTGACATTTATTTACATTTACATGTTATATTTATGTCCAGTATCCAGTGTTGCATAATCAGTGCTGTTCGAATAATATAATAATTCCGAGTACCGTATACAAAGTATTAGGCTCATATATTGTTACATTATGCTTTATTGAAATTAAGCACTCACTAGAAATCCACTCAGATATAAAACATAACTTATATTCCGTATGTAAGATCTGTCGTATGACGCTTTCGCCATGATCGCGATTCTCAAAAGTAAATTCATCCATTCTATATTTTATTTACAAATAAATATGAAGGGGACGTAACTGTCAAAAATTATTTAATAACTGGGCCTTGACATAATTTGTTATTGTATTTATTTATTTCTCAATTAAATTATTAAAATATATTGTATTTTAAGCTTATTTTACTGGTATCTAAAATAGTTTAAAGTACCGGTATAATATTTATTTATTTATTTAGGCATTTTTGTATAGCGCTTACCTTGCAGCTCTAAGCGCTTTACAATTATTAAAAATATGTAAACTATTTAAACTGTTAAAGTAAAATAAAAATGAAAAACCAGAGACACTAGAATAGTAACTACCAATGGGAAAAATAACTATAGAAACAGTAGCTTAAACTTTAAGATGGCTATAAAAACGAGTACACTTTGGCACGTTTTGGCCTATACTACAGGATTAAGCCGAGACAGAAAATGAGACAGGGCAAGGAGGGTGCATCACAGGTCATAGGCGGACCTAAACAGATGGGTTTTAAGGGACTTTTTGAAGGTGGACGAGGTTTCACAATGACGATGTGGAAGGGGAGCTGGTTCCAGAACGTGGGCGCATGGAAGTAGAAGGAGCGTTCACCGATGGACTTAGTTTTGGTTCAAGGGATTGAGAGGGTTCTCTATTGTCCATTGAAGAGCGTAGTTGTCTTGTTGGGATGGAAGGAAGCAACAGTTCAGAGAGATAGACAGGAAAGTGAGGGTCAGTGAACGAGTTGAAGCATAGATTGGCAGACTTGTACTTGATGCGAGAGGATATTGGAAGCCAGTGGAGTTGCCGCATGTGTGGTTGAATGTGGTCATGTTTCTTTGATTTAAAAATGAGTCTGCATGCNGTGACGAGATCTTCCCGGTTATATGTTATAATAGCAATATATATATATATATATATATATATATATATATATATATATATATATATATATATAATAAAATATATATATATATATAATATATATATGAAGGGCTCGTTAAGATACAGCCATATTTTAGCTATTTCCAAAAAACATATTATGGTCTTAATTTTGTTAAGTTGTTTGGGTCGTCTTTTCATCTTATCCAGTTTGCTTATGCCCTGGTTTTGTCTTTGAAAATCTCGAGCATAAGATTTGTAACATTTAACCGCGAACACATATTCATAGAAACAGAATTACCATCCGTCTATCCGAAATTTCTTCAACATTTACAAATTATGTACAGTGAACCCACCCTCACCATTTTCACGCGTCTACATATAAAACTATTCATGTTTAGTTACGGAAAGGGGGGGGGAGGTGACTAAATTAACACACCTAAATACAAAGTGTTTCGAAATAAATCCTTTATAAAATGTCATATCGAGCAAATATGGGGGGGGGGGAATTTGACAAAACTTGCGTAAAAGTTACGCATTTTTTTAGAATCCCAATTGGCTGCACCAATAGGTACCCGTGTACATATAGCTACAATTGGCTTTTCGAACCCGGAGTGGCTCCGTATAGATTAAATTGCTTTGGAGCCGGGTGTGATAACAATACTAGTATGAACATTTTTTATTCTTTTTAGTCGTGTTTTTGTTTTGTTTTTTTTTTTAATTTCTTAGTGCATGTAGTTGTTTTTTCTTTCTCATTTTATTTTTTAGTTTAAGCCATTTTCGTAGATCAATTTTTTTAAAAAATATAGTAATCAAGATGATTTAGATACATTTATTGTTTTCATTTTAATTTTAGAAAAATAATAATATTAATTTAATTATTAATGGACCACGTTATAGAATTCCACCAACAACAGAGAGCGACCAATGTCCAAGCGTTGGTTGATGTGTCACGTGTTCTCATAATGAGCAGATCTGGGAAGCGTTACGAGCGGACCAGGGATTATGTTGCGATATGTTAACTAGAGAGTTGAGTCACCCACTACTACTAAGTTAAAAAAAACAACAAAAAAACTCTTCAGCTCGCCGAAAATGCCGCCCCTCATTATATATATTTTTTAAAAAGTGGTACCTGTGTGGACCACCCCTTCCACAGCCCCCTTTCTATGCAAATGGATTGACATTTTCTCGACAATTGTGAGTCATAGTAGGCAAACAAGCTATTTAAATGGTCTGTGGTTGGTCAGCTCTAATTTGATAGATGTAACTTAATTATTTAGATGCTTACTAAGTTGACTTTGGTTTGTGATTAGTAAAATGAGAGACAGTGTTAGTGAGTTTTTGTATCTTGATGGAACCAAGTTGCCTTGTTAGTAATCTGTTAATGGTGTTTATTTCGCTATTGACATATAGTTCATTACTTTCCAGCTTTTTTGCCCCTTAGTCTTAGTAAATCACCAGCTATTTATTGAGAAAGAAATCGAAACTGTCACAAATTTTAAGAAAGGAAATTGACAATTTTATTTTATTTAAAGTTTTAACAAACATTCCCCGCTTAACCCCCACCCTCAAAATTCTAGCCACGTTACGTCCGTAATGGATGCACAACCGTGCAAAGGAAAAGCAGCGCCCTGGGCGAATGCGCCCCCTGATATTGAGGTCCTTTGCGAGTACCACTTTTACATGGCTGTGCATGGATCCAGTGGGCTAGAAAGAAATAGATCTATCAGACAAAGTAGATAGATTTATAAAATAAAAAATATTTAAATCTAAATATATCCTATTGGGCAACTTTTATAACGTATCTTTGAATACAGAAGAGTTCTCCTTGATTTCCCACAATGGCGTCGTAAATGACAAAAGAATCATGAAATGTACATTTTTAAAAAATCTTGTACTATTTTGTTAAATGGTTATTGGATTCGAACAAAAAGACGCAATTTTAAGCCTTTAGTTCCATCAGGTAAAGAGGAAGTTTTAATTTTATATCACTAGAAATAATTATTCGCGCTTAAATTTCATTGCCTTAATTTAAGAAAGGCATCATCATCATAAGGATAAGGTAGCCACTTCGATGAGATCTGGGAATTGCCTAAAAAACCGGGTATCGTAATTTCGTTATTAAAATGGTGACCTCCACTTTTTAATTTACCGAGAGCCTCGTTGTTTACGATTTTTTTGCCAATTATAGCCCAGCAAGAACATTCCGCCCACAACTTTGAGTAGACATGTTGTTGTTTTATGATTAGACACTTTTGTTCTAAAAAATATTTGAGGTCTTAACTTTGAAAATTGTAGGTAAAATAATGCTTATTTTACTCATTCATATTTTTTTTCTGAAAAGGGTGTCTTTCTTAAATAAACAGATGACCGGAGATAATAGCATAAATTACAACATATAAAAAATTCAAGAGGTTAGCACCCAGTTCAATGGTCTAAAAATGCCTAGCAAATTTTTGTCACCTTTGTCCCAAAATGACCTATTATCGATAACGATTTAAAAAAACAAAAACCCAAAAGTAAATAACTTGATTTACAATGGAAATCCAGCTTGTTACTCCAAAATAACTCATTCAAAAACAAAAACAAATAATTTAATAACACAGATACCTATTTTAACAACATAAATATATATAGGGACCTCGGTATCGACCGGAAATACCCGAAAAACGGGTATCGTATTTTCGTTGTCATAATGGCGACCTCTACTTTTTAATTTACTGAGGGTATCATTTCGCGTTTCATAATAGATTTTTAGCATAATAATATAATTTTACTTCCGCCAATTACTTAAAGCTGACATCTTTCCTGTTATATTAAGAGTTTGTTTGATTTTTTGGGTCAAGATTAAAGCCTTGAAAATTGAAGTTAAAAATTGGTCAACTTCACTCAAGAGTAACTTTTTTTTAAAAATGCGCTCTTAAATAAAAATACTCTGCTCTTTTAGTTTATATGTTCATTTAAAACAAATCCAAAATTCATGAGTGTAGACCATGGGTGGGCTTCAAAAACGAATTTCCAAGATGTCATTTTTTTAGGCTATGTAATTTGTCATCATGGCCACCGTGCTTGTCTGCTTATTTCCAATTATCGATAGCAGCCGTGGGGTAATTAATAATTCATTAAGTTGGTTATCCAGAGTGTAAATGGGAAATATAACTAATAATAAATCATTTTATATAAATAAAAAATGTTTTATAACATAAATAATTATTATTGGCTTATTGATTATCAGTGATTTTAATTTTTGGGTTGGTTGCCATGGACCTGGCAGACACTGACATGGGAATGATAAGCTCTTGTCTTTGACTTAGATAGTGATAGGTTTAGTTTAAGTATTATAATAGTATTTATACTATTATAAATGATTTAAGGAGTGGGATAAATAGCTTTTATTACAACTAATATATTTATCATTTATATTAGTTTATAAATTTTTATAGATAAATATTTATTTCTATATATATATAATGACCATTAGGCTAGAGGCCTTGTATATATATAATATAGTATAATACAAAGTATACTATATCAGGGTTAAGGCCTAGACCCAACCCAACTAATTTGTAGGGTCTATTATAATAAATTATACTTAATGATATTTTAGGATATGTAATAACATTTTAATGAATATTGTGATTCTTACTTAAGGCATAAACTAAGTAAAACATTTTGAAATATTCATTTACCTTTGGTATTGAAATATCCTATATTTAATCACATATCACAATATTCCACAGGAGAATTATTATATAATCCTCGGTTTCTCAAAGAAAATACACACTTTCTGGCACTACAATCCAAGAATTACTTAAGATATTATTAAAGAACAATCATAATAACCTGTACTTACCTCTAGTAAATGACTAGAACTTATTTTATTAACAGCTAAAGTCAAAGTTGATTCTAATAATACATGTGGATTTGTAAAACAAGATTACAAACTTAAAATAAATGACATGCTGATTGTTTTGTCATACTCATAGGAATAATATAATATATAGTATACATATGTAGAAAATGGTAAAATAAAAAGTGTAATTGTCAATTTTAAATAAATAAAACAAATAATCCCTTTATTATTTGTTTATGCTTATAAATGCTAAACAATTCCACAGAAAATCTGCAATTAATATCTAA